CACTATTAATTAATTTTAGTAAATGGTAGCGTATATACGTGAAAAATACCTCTCATTTATTTCGACAGTGTCGGTATATTTAAGAATTAAATTCGGCAATTTATATCTTTCATGTTTGCTACATACCGATGTATACGATTGTTGAAGGTACTCATAACGGGGCCAGCAGAAACACCGTACGCAAACGGCTGTTTTGAATTTGATGTATACTTTCCTCCCGACTATCCTAATAGCCCAATGTTGATAAACTTAGAGACAACCGGTCGTCACACCGTACGATTTAATCCGAATTTATACAATGATGGAAAGGTCTGTCTCAGCGTATTAAACACTTGGCACGGTCGGCCCGAGGAAAAATGGAATGCGCATACGAGTAGTTTTCTTCAGGTGAGCTCTTCCAGACAGAAAATCAAACTTACTGCATTAGAATTTATTCGGTATTATATCCAAGATTTTCAATATTACTGAAATAAATTTAAAAAATGTTTTTTTTTTTCTTTTTCATTTGGAAATTTTAAACGAACTCTCAAGTTATAACATTATTATAATTCTGTTGAATCGAATAGGTCTTGGTATCGATACAGTCGCTAATCTTGGTATCGGAACCTTACTTTAACGAGCCTGGATACGAACGGTCGCGGGGCACGTCGAGCGGTGCTCAATCTAGTCAGGAGTACAATGCGAATATTTGTCAAGCCACCGCCAAATGGGCAATGCTCGATCAAATTCGCAATCCTTGTCCATGTTTCAAGGAGGTATATACACGTAACATATAATATATAATATATAATAGGTGACCCTTAAAAAAATTGCCTCTCATTTAATAAGCGCATTTGTATTCTCTGTTATACATGTAGTATTCCATTGTAAGTTTAAATCGAATCATGATAATAACGATTAAAACGTTAAAATATATATTTTATATATTCTAATAAAGCAGAATTATATTAATATTGTAGTAATAATATATAATATATAATTATTATAATATTAGTATAATTATGTGTATATTTGTGTGTATCCGTGTAGCTGCGACTAAATAAACTTTGATTATTTTGCGACACAGGTTATACATACTCACTTTTGGATAAAAAGACACGAAATCGTTGCGCAATTAGAAGGATGGATAAGAGATATGGAAATGCATGGATCGGATCGCAGATCAGGCCGTACCATTTCTCTTAATGCATTATCCTTAAGGGTAAATGTCGCACATTTTCTAAAAGAACAATGTGTATGTCATATTAAGGTTTTAAGATTTGTACACGTACAGTTGCAGATATAACTTTATGAGATATTTTTTGTCCGCTTTACAGAGACATTATAGGCTATTGAGAGAAGAATTAAATAAACTGCCAACGCCCAAAGGATTAGAGGACCTGGCCGAACCTCTCGCGTCGCCAGGCTCACCCATCGAACTTTCAGGAACTCCAAGCACTACACCCAATACACCATCGACGATCGCAGCATCCGCGACTAATCCAATCACTACCAACAATATAGTTCCGAGCAGTGCGAGTAGTCACGTGCATCACGACATCGACACGGACGTCGAGATGGAAAAGATGGTCTCAAAAATGTGTGAATAGCTAAAGGATGTTAATAGACATTGTTGGACATTTTGAAAAGAGTCTATTGTTTGTGTTACGAAATGAACAAATGGACATTGAAAAAAAAATGACACAATGGACTGAAATCAAGTATATGAGTAATCTGTGCCGATTGCGGCTGAGTATGTCGTTGATTGGTCAGCCATTATAGGGAAGAAGGAAAGCAGTAATGATTTTCGATCGAAGATATATATATATATATATATATATATATATATATATACACATATATATAATTACACGATGAGACGATGATTACAATGATAGTGATTAAAAGATGTAGGTAGGTAAACAAATGTAAGGTGTGGTAAAAAACAATAGAGAGAAAGCATGTGCGCGTGTGCGCGCTGTATGAACGTAAAAGAAAGAGAATGACTAAGCGAGTAAATGAATGAGAATGAATGGACGAATAAATGATTGAACGAACGAATGAATGAATAAACAAACGAACGAGCGAACGCGTACGCAAGCGAGAATAATAATAACGAGAGAGTATGAAAGAGAGAAAGAGAGCGAGACAAATAGAGAGACAGAGAATAAGTAGCGTGAATGTAACAAACTCGTGCGTAGTAGATACTTTTTTATAGCCGCTGCTATAGTACGTGTACGCTGCATTCTACTACTTTGTACTACCATAAGTACTACAACTGTTATTCGATATTTATAATACATGTTCCTCGTTTATGTAGCACAACTTAAAACTAATTGCACTTTCGTGCTAATTTTGAACATCAACAGCTTATTGATTCCTCCTTGCTGCCAATTTCCGCGTCTCTCAAGAAAAAACTAATATCCCAAGAGTATAATGAATTAAGAGAGAGAGAGAGAGAGAGAGAGAGAGAGAGAGAGAGAGATGTGTCCATTATCCGATATATTTATTCTTTAAATAATCTTTATCATATGAATTAAAGCTTTGCGTATATCGCACACTTACACACATATTTTTATACACATGCATACATACATTTTTCCCTTGCGTACATTCGCGATATATTCCTATAATGTCGACATGATCCTTTCGTTTGCTTTTCCTTCTCTTCAAATATATATTTATTTCAAACTCGGGCACAATATCAATTTTGAGTTATTAAATTTTATTCATATTTCAGTTTTATTTTATTTATATGATTACTCATTATTTGCACGAGACATAATCGATAAACATTAGGTAATTTGTTGCTAATACGCGAGAAAATGTAAAGAAGAAACAATAACGTTGATGAAAATTGGCTTGAGGGTGCAAATAATTCAGGGTTCTGATATAGCGGATACCCTTACGATGATCGAATCTAAACGACGATTTGTCACCTAAAGACCGAGATGACGATTTAGGTACATCATTTTAGATAACGTTTAATATAATAGTACGTGTTCTGTGTCGATTTTGAACAAACGACTAAAATGAAAATTTCTTGGAAAACGGAGGAATCGATGATACGTTTCTCATAAACGAAAATTGCTCTTTATAATTGTAACAGCTATACTTAGTACACGATTTCATATGAATCGACCATATGAACGAATAAAATTACATTGTTTTGAGATAGCCTTTTATTCGTTATCTCTAATTTTATATTTTTACTTTTTATTATTGTTACCATATTTAACTAGATTATTATCGACACAATTGCACATTTGACTTTTGAAAGACGTTATCACACAGACTATATATCAGAATTTAGAATATTGAAGATTAAAGATAAGAAATTTAATAAATCGGGACGAAACAAACTAAAATTTTCATGCTTGATCAAATTTCAATTTTCAATCTCAATCTTTGATGCATAATCTGTATGACACGAGCTTTAAAGATGCTTCGAATCAAAAGAGCAAAAATTTCTTTATTCTGATTATTTAATGCAATATTTCGAAGTATCTCTAGCATTTCTCAATTGTAGTTTATATCGAATGACACTATGGGAATTAGGAAAGGACTAGATTTCTTTATTGATTCGACATTAAGAAAAATTATGATTTATTTCAACTTTAGCAATATGCACGCACAACATATACACACAAACATTATTAATGTTTAAAAGAAAATAGAACATACAGAGGCTCTATATATTATAATATCTTTTATTTTGAGAAGATATTAATATACAAGGCGAGAAATTTTAGAATCAAACGTATCGTGTTTACAAATTTGTCTATCATGTACGACCATAGTTTTCAAAGTGTATTTAAAGCTAAATTTTTATTCAAAGCTAATTTTTTTTCACTCATTTAATATTACATCATCTATTATTTATTTTTATACTTTTATTACTTGTGTTTAATCTCTCACACTTGTCAAGTGTGTTTAAAAACGTAAGGAAAAAAACTATGTGAGAGAATCTCTCGTAAATATTGAATATAATTTTTTTCGAGCAAATTTGGATATTACAAAACAAGTAATCGTACACAGTAATCACAGCTAAGTTAAAAAAATCATGTCCTTTGTCGTAAACATTTATCTAAATTTTCACCACATCATTCTTTCATATATTCATTATAGTAAAAGGATGTTAAATTTCCCGGTAAAAATATACATATGAAGTTTGCTAGTTTTTCTAAAATTGTTAATTTTGGTAGCTTGGAGCTAACTTCAGTCGGTGCACGCTAGTAAATCGGATTGGTTGTTACTTGTTGCTTCGCGTCGATCGTGATTGTTACGTCGACTTGTAAAATTCCAAGTTTGCGCGTGCATTAACAAAAAGATTCTCCGATTTACATCTTGTATATTTCGTAAAAACCGCTTACTCGTTTGAGAGAAAACACGCTCTTTTTAATTTTTTTAGACCAACTACTTTCGAGTGCAACATTTGTGACGGTGAGTACATTTTCCAAATGCAGAATATGAGGTAAACTTTACTATAAATATTTGCGTATTTTTTCGCAAAAGAGAAAGGGAAAGAAATATTGTACGTGCATATTTATCAGATGCTATGATCGATGTACTAGAAAAACAATGTTAAAATATTAATAATGAACACGAATGTCGATAAATATACATTTGGCGCATTCTTGATAAATGAATAATATATTTAATTGATAATATTTTTGAAGAATATTTTTGATTGATAATATATTTAAAGTACACGTGTAATTAATATATCCGCGATCCGCGTTATCGGTCAATAACCGCATTCAGGAGACTCGACAAATGAGCAACGCGTTATTAAATCTTCACGTATATTGTATCTTTATTAATGTTATCCAATTGTCGAGTCGTCAATCAACGTAGTCGTGCCGTAGAAGATAGATGGCAGCAGAGTATGAAATAATAGCGCGGACTGTACGACCGCGGGATCGTTGCCCGCTACGGTCGTGGTGGGGCGGGGTGGAGTGTGGACCGTTTGGTGGGGCGCGTAGGTCGCGGGCGATTTGGCGCTTCGATGGAGCTTAGGACCAACTTCAGTCGGTGCGCGCGAGCGGGTCAGAGCGGTCGTTGGGTTGCGTCGGTCGTTGTCGTCGTCGTCGTCGTCATCGTCGTCGCGCCTTTCGATTCTCCGCGCGCGCGGAGATACTCGATTTCGTCGGCTTCGTCCCCCTGGACGCGAATATTTCGATCTCTCTCTTTGTCGATCGCAGAGTTGCTCCGAGAATTTGTTTGTGCGCGCGCGCGCGCGCGCGCAATATTAGCGATGTTCCGATCTGCATCCGATCGCGAGACTACGGTAAGTGTTTTATATTACAACGCCATGATGCGTGATATTTTTACTCGTGTGTATCGCATCGCGACATGTCGCGAGGATGGGCATTAGGGATCCAAGTATCGTTCTTATACGAGTGTGTGTCGTGTTGGGTAAAATAATTTGTCCTCTCTCCCTCTCTCTCCCTCTCCGCTCCTCGCCCGGAAGCGACTATTACCCGTGAAAATGAGTGGTTGCTGCCGACACCGACGCGTTACGCAATATTTAAATTTGTATTTTTAGGCTTAGAGCGAGACTGTGCGCGCGGCGCGCGGCGCGCGCATGCGATGGACCAATTTTTCTTAAAGCGGAAGAAAATTTCAACTTTTTTCAAACATGCCCCATTTATACTCGAGCGTTAAGAAGCTACGGAAAGCCTCGTAATTTCCGTTTCTCTTCATTTTCTTTCATCTTTGAACGATTCTTTTCTTCTTTTCTCTCGTCAATATTACTCGCGATTGGTTTCGTTTAAGATTTAATAGATTTAATCGATTGGAAAAGTAGTCTCGTCGATTGATATTTCGCATAAATTCGAAATATCGGCTCCCATTTTTGTGTCCGTGATTTTTTTCAGTAGCACAAATTCAATACAATTCTTTCACCGGAGTTGGAATTATCGGTGACTATCACTCGCTATCATTTGCATTAAACCAAGATTTGGAGTCAACCTTCGTAGCGATACGTGACAAGACAGGTGGAAAGAAACGTGTGTGTATGTGCGTGTGCATGCGCGTGTGTTGCGTCTACAGGCGTGTAAATTTACACAAATTTAAAATCAAGTAGTGTGTGCAAGCTGAAAATGCACACTACCGGTTTCCATCTAGTTACATTCCTCGCCTCGTTCGAGCATGATCTCTCTCACGCGTGCGTGTGTATGTTGGCTATGGCGCGAACTCGCGTGCGTGTGTGCATCGAAAAGGAGGATGAGAGGGAAAGACTACTCATTGATAGACCTTTAACGTAAAGCTCGATTTTTATCGATAAAATTGTCCGCAAAATTGTTGGTACAAAATTAAATTATGCGAGAATAGCAAGAAAGTGATGTAATTTATATAAAAATATAATTATGTATATGTGTCCACCAACTTTCTCCTCTCTTCTCCTTCGCATCGATATATATATATACGTGTTTGGATTGATAATAGATGGTCGATATTGTTGAAAGCGAATTGCTTTACAATCGGTATCAATAGGTCATGATCCGTGTGTCAACAATCAGGTCTGTCGCCGTCAAGTGCATTTACATTTCAAAAAATTGAGATAAACGACGCGCGCGGAAAAGAGTATCTTTTTTATACAATTTGAGTTTTTAAAAATCGACCTTTTCTCGCACTAATTAGTATTAACTTGTAGTTATAAGCTTATCCTTTATAATCTTTAATTTGATAAATTAATCGAGAGAATTGTTTAAGAATTTTTAAAATGTTGAAAATTTTATGTATATGTTGTATATTTTCTTACATGTAATGAAAATAACGTGCGCTTATTCATTTTTTCTACCCGACAAGGATTTACGCCGCTCTTTTTTTTAAATATATAAGAATAAAAATTAAATTCGTCCTTAAATACTTGTTTAACATCAAGCCAGAAAGAGATTCTTCTACTCGACATTGACTTTTGTCGGCAATTGTGTTGCTCTGTATGAATCTTGATGTGATAAAATTTCGATGAGGAACGCGATGGAATTTTAATTTTACAGTTTGCAGCGTTGCAAGACTACGTGATACTTATCGTCAATTTTTTTATCAAAATATTTATTCGAAAAATTTCGACGTTAATATGCGATGAAACAAGAATGATTGTGTAATTTAAATCAAATTACATTAATACTCACTAATTGTAATAATAAAATTACGAAAATTGTGTCGCGAAGGGTCGTTTCTTGCTTAAGTGGTTTTATATAAATGATTTTGCATTTCGTAAATACACTGTATAAGAAAAATTTTGAATATGTAATTGCCAAATTTAAATTTATCGTAGAAAAAATATGCAGAAACAGCCGTCTCAGTATAAATTATTATTAAATTTATCAATTTTTTTTTTTAGAGAAAAACAAATATATTATGTACTTTTCTGTTGCACACTGTTATAGACATATGTAATTTTACCGATCACAATTTCATATCTTTTTATTTGTACATATGTATTTCACATTAATTTTATTTTCGGTACTCTCTAAGAATTCTATCAAAAAGTTGTCAATTATTTATGATATAATTAAATATAAAAATTACCTTAAATGAAATATGTTAATATAAGGGATCGACTTTTTTCATTTTTTCCTATCGTATTTAGTACACGTATCGCAATAATTTTTTATTTATTATATACTACCGCATCACATTGTGAGTGAATAAAAAATGATTTCGCCAAACGAGTATATATGTCAATCGATATATATATATATATATATATATATATATATATATATATATATTCTACTCTATTATAATTTACTTTGCTATTATAAACACGATTGAACAAAGAACTTTTTAGTTATAATAAAATAAATTTTTCTAAATAAATCAAATAGATAATAAAACTACATTATTTAATTAATCTCAGGTAAATTAATTAGACTAATAGATTAATAGGTTTTGGAGATACATTTATTTTATCTCCCTCTTTTTTCTTAGTTGTTACGTGAAAATACTATCAATCATTAAAAAAATGTGTGTGTGTGTGTGTGTATATTTCATTGATGTACATTGTATTACTCACGTACAGTATTATCGATTAAATTGCCGGGAGAAGTAATTATTATGAAAATATTGTCTCTTGTATTTCACAGAGGAAAAAAATAAGATGATGGTTATTTATTGTACAGATTTTATGAAATCTCGAAACAAAGATTTATCGTTTAATCGAGATACAGAGACACAGATACACACACGCACACACACACACACGCATACTCTCTCTCTTTCTTTTAAAAGATTCTTAAGGCCGTGCATCGAGCAATTTTTACACGTGTTTCATTCGTCCTCAGCCTTGATAATACTGTGAAAATTTAAGCTTCTTTGAAAACATTTCACTAGAAATATCATCTTCTTAAAAAAAGACCTCCAAATAAAAAGCTATTTATTTATTTATGTTTCGTTCGCTTGGCTTTAAATGTTTGGTTTTACTTTACTTTGATTTATAAGCTTCTTCCAAATATCCAGTAAACGAATATTATTTATCTATTATCTTTCTAAGAAATATAAAAAATATCAGATACATTTTTTACATGACATAAGAAAACTAAAGAAAAATTATAAAATTTTTATCAAAAAAATTTAATAACTTGCAGTTGTGTGCTGGATGTATTCATTTAGCAAAGAATCATTCTTTTAATTTATTTTTTTTTATGTTTTACTGTCAAAAATATTGTTAAATATGTGTTACGCATAATATATATAATCACGTATAATATATATATATATATAATCAATATATAATCAAGTTTCAGAAAAAACAATTATCACACACACACACAAATAATTATTTTATTTTCTAATACATGATAGAGTTGCTATCTAAAGTCGATTATATAAATTTAATTTTATTTCAAAGAGAGAGAGAGAGAGAGAAACTCTATTGTGGAATTTTATTTCCAATGTTTTCCCAATTAAAAAATATATAAAAGTCACCATAATATGAGCAATAGAAATTATTTGTGTGTGAGGAAAATTGTGTAATTTTATTTATAATTTTGTTTGATGTGTGACAAAATTTTTTAACGATCTTTACAAAGAATCCTTTATTTGATTTTAGGAAAGTGTCGCGCTTAGCAGCTGAAGCAGGATCAAATCATACAGTGCGGATAAATTTCAGTTGCAAATTTGGTCAAATCGCGCCTGACGTGAAAACCGAGGTTTCAAACATCTCAATCATTGTCATCGTCATCGTCGTCGTCGTCGTCGTCGTCGTCATCATCATTATCATTGCTATCATTAGCGTCATCATCGACCCGTGCTCTGATTTGGTCAGAAATGTTTCTCGCGCAATCCTCGAGAGAAGGAGCGCGACGAAGCTGGCGCGATAAACATAAGCTTCCAGCCGCGTAAAGACGCGAAATGGATAAGAGGAACGACTAAATTGGAATACGCTAGACAAACAATGAACTACGATGTCCGCTCTTGAGCAGCATTCAGGCATGAGCGGCACGATGCATTTCAACTCTTTCAACCGGCTATTCCCCTAGCAACACACGCACTCTCGACACGCACGAGTACAAGCGGTACAGTCGAGGTTCTTTGAGAAAGATAGGCGCGAGATATTTCCGTGCGTTCTTTAACGAACGCTACGCCTATCCTAGTTGCATTCTGTCGTCGAGACGTCCGCGAAGAAAACAAGATTTGAAAGGAGGAAGAGAGAGAGAGAGAGAGAAAGAGACCTTGAGACTTGTCTGCGAAGAGTTTTATGGATACGTGTACGAGGATATATCGGAAACTCTCTCGGCATGAATGCTTCAAAATATGCGTTCGCGCGTGCGAAATATTTCTCTAAAGTCTGACGACGCGATTCTCACAATGATGAATTGATTCGCGCGAGCAATGTGCGCGATAAAATCGATGCGGAATCGATGTTCCGATAAATATATACATCCATGTATACATACATATATATATACATATTAGTAATCGCTTTCGAGTAGCGCGAGAAAACACTGAATACGTTTAGAACGAATAGATGCACGTGCATCAGTGGGAATCAGAATTGCAGAGATGTCGCGAATTTCAAATCGCGTCGCCACAATTAGCGCGGCCCTCGGCATCGTTTTGCTCGTGATATTGCTAATAATCTTGTGGTCGAATGTGCGCAACGTGGACAGGATCGGGGATGTTGACCGAACGCGGAACAATTCTACGATCGATCGCATCGTCGATGAAGCGCGGGAGAGACAGATCGACAGTGCTATGCGGATTACTACGACTTTGGACTCGATTGAACAGAATTTTACGAACGAGGGTGAGTCTTATTTTTATCCGTTTGTTTATTACTTACTCGATAACCTTGATAAAAATAAACTTCATCGCAAGCTTATGAATCGTACAATTAAATTTGTCGCATTCTCATAAAACTTTTACTTTTTAAGTTATTTTAAGATACATGCACGCGTTTCTCGTCACCAATGATGAGCCTGACTTGAGAGAAGCGAGGAATATCTTGTATTAAAAATATTATTAAAAATATTATTAAAATATGTTTATATGCGCGGATTGAAATTGTCTTATGTTTCGATAATTAATTGAAGTTGGACATGCGTCATAGGGTTTTTAAGTATTCTCAATTATTCAAAATGGAAATTTTTTAAATCCAAATAATTAGGTGCAATATAATGAAAGCAGTCGATAATGTTACATCATAAATGTGTTATGATGAAAGGAAGAAATTGTTATTAAAACTAAAAGATACAAAAGTAAAATAAATAATTAAAATATATTCACTACTCGGATAAATTGGAAGTAGGTTAAATTTCATGATAAAGAAATATTTAATTAATAAGTCTTGTCCTTTTTTATACTGAGTCTTTTGACACACGCTATTTAAACATATATCCACATACTTCCACAGTTAATTCCACAGTTTAATTGAAATTGTCTAATTAAAATTGACATACCTCCGATTGTCGTGTAATTCTACGTTGCTTCTTTATCAAGCGAACGTTCCGAGAAGCGATATCATTGCATACAACGAGGTAGATGTACATTTTCGCGAATATGCCGGCAAGCTTGCATGTCGAAATGCATACAAAGCATAAATGGGGTTGCTTAGTGTGATATTGCGTGCGCGTGAGAGCGTGTTGATAAAATGTATTCTCTCGGGACAACCACACACGCTGACAGCGTGACACAAAAACATCGCGCCTACGCGAGGGTAGACGGGTATAGAGAGAGAGAAAGAGAGAGACGGACGCTCTGGACGCGAGTGATATGCAACTCGGAAAAGAGAAGCGAGGAGAGAAACGTTGGTGTAACTTAAAAGTGCAGCCGCGTGCGAGCGGTGAACGCTACTAAAAGTGCGTACGTCGTGAAGGCTCGTGTTTCAGTCAAAGTCAGCAGACGCGACGGACATCACGCGTTTAACGAAGCACAACGTTGTCTTCGGGAAGCACCTTTTGCCGCGTTTGCGTTTGTTTTCACTTTTATCAACGGGTGATTCGATGATTATATTATTTCACAAGTAAGAATAATAAAACTCTGTTGAAAATTATCAAACTTGAGGGTGTAATTTTAACTTCATTGCAATACATCACATTTAACGTGTGGTCTTTAGATATTTTATATAATAATATGAAAATCGCTCAACAAGAGATTTAATTTTAAAATGCATAATACGTTGCAGCGACTATATTATCCTCAGATTCTTTTTTATCTAAATTATCTTTTAGTGCTCTCTCTTTCTCTCTCTCTCTCTCTCTCTCTCTCTCTCTCTCTCTCTCTCTCTCTCTCTTCATATACGCACACAAATTTATTTATACAAAATAATAAAAAAAATTCTTACATTTATATACCGCGCGGAGCAGTTAGTTGTTGTTGAGATTGCAGACAGACAATTAAAATCTTGAAATTCTTCATATTGTTGAAAAGATAATTATTAAAACATCTCCAAGTGTCTTCAATCAGTCTTTCCTACCGAGCGATTTTTATTTGTACGAAACGTGAAAAGATAAATGTAAATGTTACAAATGTTGTATAATCGTTTGTACATATATTTATTATCGGTTTTGTGTAATTTCTCTCAGATATATACTTTATGTATGATTATAAATGTTCTTTTCCAAGTTGCATTACTGGTTGCTCTTGGATTGCGCTCTAAGGTATTACGTGTCGTTTAAGAAAGACCTTGATTGTTAATCCATGTTAGTTTACGCGAGACAACAATGTTAAAGCAGAAATATACGTTTTTTCGTAACAAGGAATAATGAATGTAAATATATTAATTTATTTTTTGTGTCCAAAAAAATCACTGTGTTGACTAGTTGAATAACACGGTATTTGTATAAACTTTATTTCAAAATACTTGGATTTATTAAATCTTTTGAAATACAATGAGAGATGTTACTTGAATTTGCGATAAATTTGTAAAGAAAAAAAAATAATGAAAGAATACAACATGTAACATAAAATAAATTCCTTATTTGCCTGTGTTAGGCAAGAATCGCTTAAATATACTATATATGTACAATTAGTCAGATTATATATAACAAAATATTGATTTTAAAACTTGAGTGGTATACATTTGAAGCACTTGGGAAGAGTTTACTTCGGGGGCTGACAAAAAGTCGCGAATGCACAGGATGCGATATGCCAGACGACTATGCATCGTGTCTGTAAACATTTCGACCAACTTGCAAAACTCGAACCCTATGCTTCGTTACAGGATATATCGGTCGATCCAGTCAGTAATTTATGACCGAGACCATTCGGGTTAAAATAGCCAAAGCCAGCTGGCATTTCGAATAATACCGATAACGATGGTCTTGAACCATATTATACCAATGCCGTTTGTGATTTCACACCATCATTTGTTATCCTGTCTCGATCGCATTGTTTCATGGATTTTACTTTGACTTTTTGGTCAATTTAGCCGAGTTTTAGTCACGCTTTATCAACAAATTAAATTAAATTTTATCAAGTTTTTTTTAAATATAACTTCCATTATATATAGTTATTATTGCCATATATATATTTAGTATTGCTAAGTTAATCAAGTTTAGTTAGTAACGAATAATAATACGGTCAAACGTAAACATTTGTTTAATTTCTTTTGAAAATTTGATGTAACTATTTTGCATGTGAGAAAAATATACATAGAGATTATTTTTATTACACTCCCATGTTTAGTATTTCGAGGCTTGCATCTCGGATGTTTTCAGGCTCATGTTTCGATACTGTAATTAAATGGCAACACATGCGAGACACTGTAAAAGATCTTTCTCTTACGAACACAGTGTTCGCCTTGTGAAAGAGGAAGGCGAGAAAGTCTTCTCAGTGTCACTCGGCATAGTAGAGACGCGGACGAAGCGTAAACGTTTATGCGAGAGAAATGGTTCGACGGTACATAATGAGAATGGCTCTTTTATATTACAAAAACAATGTTAACTCTCAAACGCTGCAGTTCAATGACACGCGATATGCAGGAGATTGTAGATTGTTGATTCGCGGAATCTTTTTGATAATAAAAATAAATTCTTCGACTTCCGGTGGTAAGAAACTAGGAGAAGTCAGTTTAACTTTAACGACATGTTATAACGTTCTATTGTAAACGATAGATGCACAAATGTTATTAAATGTATCTAGATAGTGCGAGGAAAAACTATGGAATACGTGCTGTTATGGGGTAAAAGAAAATAAAATTGTACGTTGCTTGTGACGAAAGTTAAACTTATTTCCATTGGTGTTAGAAATAAAAAGAAGAAAATTTCAAACGGCACATCAAAATTTAATGCAGATTATTAATCTATATTTTTTTTACAATCGCAAAGCTATCATCATATGTATGTAACATTGCAAAATTTGCGCATTCATCTAATGCAGTATTATTAAGATTACATTATGTATTCGTTTTACAATGATGCGCGACAGTTTCCAAGATTGTTGCGTTTACGATGGAATTATGTTATTATTTTGACTTTTAATTAATTAATCAAGAAAATTATCGGTATATAAAACGTCCGACTAACATTAAAAAATACAGAAAAAGTTTTATATGTCTAAAAGTATTCGTATATATATTAAAAATTTTAATAGCTTTAAAAATTGTAATAACGAGCAATTAATGTTTTATTGAGTAGCAAGTGTAAAAAATTTGTGGAAATTTTTCTCAAAATTTCTCTCTATCCCACGCGTGTTCTTTAAATTGCTTTTTCACGACGAATCTTTGCTCTAAGAATAAAAAAAAAAACATTAACCACTTAACATTGGGCATAGTTAAAAGGTCAAGATAGCTCGACCTGGTTGGGATTTTAATGAAATTAATTGAATGTTTTGCGATTACGTACTATCATTTCCTCTACTTCAAGCAACATATCTTTATAAATAAACTCTGAGCAATCTGATTTGATATTTACATCTCTTATATTGTTATTTTCATCGAAATATGTAATCTGGCAAATTTGCTATATTAATTATTATTTGGAGTAACTTTGGAACGTCAATGGTAAACTCATTCGGGAAATTATAATATATTTTTATTCGTATTCTATATTTAAAAGGTATTTATAGCCCATACACATTATTTGCACATTTATGAAAATGAAACGGAAATAGTTGTTATTAGGAAAATTTTTTGTGAAAATTTCATTGCGCAAAACAAACGTGTTGTTTGGAACGACAGTGCCGCGTTTGGCACGTTTCCACAGTATTTTCAGAAATATTATACTTTGTAAGATGAATCTTGAACTCAGGAAGTTGAAACTATAATAATTACTATACTCCATTTGCAGTTTCGACAAACAGTCTCGCACAGCAAGAAAATCCATTATGCGACGTGCTAAAGACGTAAACATTTTAACGCATTGAATTTTTAACGATGTATTTTACGATAAACATCTCTTTATATAATTTTAATCGTACTTGAGCATCTTGGAATTTCTATTTTAGACTGTATTGTATGAAAATATACAGCGTATATCGTACGCTATAACATATTATTAAATATAAGTGGTAATTTTTATTGCAATTACATTCCATTACATTGCGAAAAATATAAATAATCGACAGTTAATAATTTAAAATTAATATGATGTATTACACACACACGCACACTTAAAATTATAGAGTAAATAAAGATTATTCCATGTTGAGCCAATTAATAAATTTCTGATTTAATTCCTCGTTATTTTATATGAATTGAATAAATTTGTGTGTGTGTATTTATATTTATATAAGAATTTTATTAAATGTAAAAGTAAAATAATTTTAATTAAATATATTTATAACATATTTTCCATCATAGATAAAAGCAGCATACAAATTTTTATAACAAAAAAATATAGAACGCAGAAAGAAAAAGAGAGAGGGAGGAGGGAAGAGAAGAGAAATAGAGCATGCACGTGTTTTACATATCTTATAATTTTTTTTCTCAAATTTAGATTTTATGAATTAATGCAACTATTATTTATAAACTTGTAAATTTATTATAAATAATCTCTTCGTATCATCCATCATTTTGATATTTTGCTCAAGGAAATCATTAATTAAAACGCGCGTCGTACACTATGAGCATATTAGGCAAAAGCAGTGTTGCAAAAATTTAACGGTTTGTAGAACATTCACGTTTATCTCATGGTTCGTGATTCAGAACTGACATTCGATACGTCTTGTGAAAACTATCATGCGTAATTATAGAACTGTGCATGTATTTCTCCAGATGTGTTTCGTGTACTACCGAGGCCATGTTATAGGTAGAGCTCGATATAATTAAACAAGGCGATGCTTACTGCTATTCCGTGAACAATTTCTTCAAGGTCTTATCGTATATATATCTTACTTTTTGCGTTAACTCTAAAATCTTTAAATTATTGTACGCAGATACAATCGTATTCTCGCGCGCATACATAATAAGATCCAATAATAACAATGAAAATTGCTCGTCTGAGAATTATACCAACAACTTGTCAGAAAAATCTTCCAATCGATATATATAAAATCACATAAAGATAGAATGTATTGCTCGGTTTTTTATTCGTGCAATTATATTTAATTTACATCAATAAATAAACTTTAAACAATAACTAATTACTCAGTTTTAAGCAATAAGTTGGCGTTCAATTTTCAAGTGTAAAGTTGTATTTCGATGAATTCTATTAATAATTGTTCTCTGAGGAAAAAAATTAAGATGAACAATAAATCATTTTACGCGCGCGCATGTGTGTGTAGTGATTATCATTTACTCAATTTTCCAGGAGAAAGATATTAATGAAAAATAAAAAATTCAAACGAATCGACACATTTCTCTTTACTGACACAAATTAAAAGAGACTAAGAAATAAAATTTTTGCCATTGTTTGAGTTTTTCCAAATTCGGATTTTTAAAGTTTTTTTCTTAATTTATTAAAATTATTCGCGAGAAACACATTACGAAAATATAAAAAAAATAACCATGACAACTGATTAATTTAATCAAATGATACAAATGTGCACTATTATGGATTTTTAACTGAATGGATTTTTATATGAAAATCGAAAAGTTTGTATTGTATTACAGAATAAAATTAATGTACCATGTGTCTTGAGGAAATTATAACGTGATCAGTTTAGCGCGCGCGCACACACACACACACAAAACTGTCAACATAAAAATTAGTGATTTTTTACATTATTTTTGTTTTTATCAATACGCTTTCTTCGCCAGCATTTACCTATTCATAATATTTCAATTTAAAACTTGTTACGGTACTTTTCTTTCTTAAAATCTAACATTTTACAAATATTCTGTACTCTTATATTATTTGCAATTAATTTAATGAAATTAAGATATGAATAATTTTTATTTAGACACGTTTTAACGTTTTTTGTTACATCTATTTCATTATTGCATAAACAATTATCACTTTAAAAATATAGCAAATACATAAAAATTTAAACAAATTTGAAAGGAAACAGTGTGTTTTATATATGTGTGATATAAATTATTCTTTTAATATAATTCCAGTGTTTTCCAAGGAAACAAAAAATACGAAGAAACACAATAACGCATCATCGATCAATGTATTGCCATTCGCTAAGGATAATCTAGAGTATGTCAAACCATTCAAAATTAGTCAAAATCAATACGAAGATCCACGTAAGTATTTGAAATATATACATAATGTGTAAATATACATGAATATTTGAAAATAATGCTAATAATAAGAGAGGCGAAAAAATATAATCGTGTACTATTTCTTTAAGAAAGTTTATTAATTTAACAAAAATTTAACAAAAAAATTTAATTAAAAGCTTATTAAAGAGGTTAGTTATAAAAAGATTTAAATACAAATTTTTTTTTAATATAAATTTTCTTTAAACATTATAAAATTAAATGTGGCTTGTTATTTTGGTCTTTTACAATGCTTTTTTCCAATTTATTTGGAAATGTTGGCATATATATATAAACGCGTGGAGATGGAATTTCGTGAATCGAATATTATGTTGTCACTTTTTTTAGTCAGATAATTTGAATAATAATGACGTAAAAACGCATAAAAAATGTATACTTGAACGAATATATTTCATCGATAATTACGCTATACCGTGTGACACATGTATGCGCATACGTAAAATAAGCAGTTTGAAGCTAAAAGTTGATAATTTATGGGAAAGAAACACACACACACAATCCATTTGTCGAGTTACTTTTGCAATATCATATATTTGAGTCATTCTATGACTTAGCCTTGACTTTTATGATATCTAAAATTAAAAAGATTAATGTGCATAAATATATCAAAATTCATTTGTCACTTTATTCAAGCATAATTAAATGATGCATTCTGACAATTAATTGTTTAAATGGTACGCTCTTGATAGCGAGTGCATATAATCAGTATCAATTTTGAGAATAATCTCTTTATTGCTGTTGTTGTTGCACGAAACTATAAATAAATATGTTAAGAAATTATAATTAATACATACATATACATAGAAATAGATAATGTATAATTTTTTAAATGTGCATCTGTACTTATGATACTTTAAAAATTCAAGCATTAAAATGTATTACTGCATAAAAAATGTGATAGATACGTCAGTAATACCATAACGAGAAATGCTAAAAGATACTAAATTATTTAAAGATGCTAAATATCAGCATTACATTTTCCATAATATCACCTTTTTTCATATAATTTGTAACTTGCTCTACTTGAAATAAAGTCTTTCGTTTTTAGTCGAAGAATCTTCCACGGCAAAGAGACACCATAGTGGTCATTTTCGACATGCATCCGCCGAAATTTGGGATCCTCATCCGCAATACGAATTTACCGCCTTTGGAAGACGATTTCGTTTACGATTGGCACACGATGCTAGTTTCGTATCTCCCGACATAAAGGTAGAGGATCGACCGAGCAACATTTCTCTCTCTCTTTCTCTCCCTCTGTCTTTGTTATTAAATCATGTTATATATGTATCTATAACGATACCCAATTATCATAAAATTATTGGGCCAATGACCTTTGCATAAGAGCAGAGAAAGAACGCGCATTAAAGCGAAACGAGCTATAATCGCGGTTCTAGTCAATCATTTTTCTACTTAATTGACAGCTTTAATTACACTTCTTACACGACGATGACGTAGGTGACGCATATAAGCGAGAACACAACTAGAAGAGAACATGCTGGTCGTCAGTTGGGTTGCTATTACAGCGGGTCAGTCGATGGCGATCCAAGTTCAGCGGTCAGTGTCAGCCTTTGTCACGGAATGGTGAGTCACAGATTGAGCTTTAGAGAATGTCTCGTTCCGCGATTCTTTATACGCGTCGCACAAGTCAGTTAATTTCAATCGATTACAAAAATGATAAATCTGCCAGAAAACAATCTGTCTTACATTCTAGCGTGAATCGATTAGCATAATCACATTTTTTGATAGATATATATATATTTTTTCCACTTTTCTTTCTGGCTAGCATATTATAATCTTTACCGGTGATTATTTAAATTATACAAAAGCAGATTAAAGCTTTTATTATTGTTTTCCCGGTAAGAGATCGAAAGAATTAATAGTAATATATTTCTACGCATCGATAACTTTCTATCCTGACTCCATCATTTTTATTGAAAGTTTCTGGATACTTTTTTCGAAATTTGCACCTTTCAAGTTTTTTCCTTTTCGAGAAAAGCGAAAATGAAATAGAAAAAAAAACTTGTATTTCTCGCTTGTTGAACATTCTTTCTAGTGATTTAGGTCATGTTTTAATTTAGCCATGGCAAGGTTAGAATAATCAATTGGCCGTCTGTTTCAGACGTAGAAATAGGAAGAAGTAAGCACCCGGTTGAGTCGAGTCTTGATATCTTTACTTTAGATAGTGAGTCTAGCCACTCGATTTAATTATTTGAAAAACAGTGAATTTCATTTGCTATCGCGCGATCGCTTTCGCGGATACTTTAATTTGTCCTCTTTATCACATTTTCCGATATTCTTCATATTTTTTGATATTAATTTCCGGTGTCGCTCATCACCGATTTTTAAAAATGTCCATTGTAAATTAATTATAAATTTCAAATAGTTTTAAGTGTTACTAAAGTATAATATAATTGAATGTTTAAAATTAATTGAAAAATATAAGTTTGTCACTGTTTTTCTCATTTAAAAATTAGCTTGTAAAATTTCTTGTTTTCTAGTTGTTTATTCACTATATATTTGTGTCTCGATATTTTTGTTAAGAAAAAATTATTTCCATCTCAAAAATTTGGAAATTTGCAATCAAGGAATTTGCGGTATAAATAACACCCGATAATGAACTTTTATAAATATAAACTTTGTATAAACGCGCCTAATCAAATTAATGTATCTTTTGACATATGACTGGTTGTCGAGAATTAACGCGCGTGCGTGACGAGAAATATAAGATGTTTAATTTTGCGCGATTCAGTAATCATCGCGTATCTCTTTATTTGTTTAAATTTCAGTCACGAATCATAATAGTAGATTATGCTGTTGGGAAAACTCGAGTTTTTGAACCTTTTATCGCCAGTAAAATATTCCATACGACATATGACAACGAATGGAGATATTAATTAACAATTATCTTGTTTTTATAAATATAAGAATGCTTACAAATACATACTAAACATAAAATTACACTTAATAAAAATCTAAATACAAAAGTAAATTTCTTGTTTTTTGAATATTTTTAAGGGAAAAGTTAGAATCTTTAAAGGTTAAAATCAACATTATACCTTATCAACCTTATTTTCTCCAATATAATTATGTTAAATTTAATTTTTTTACACTAGTTTTGATTAAAATATATATTATACGCTTCTTTACGATTTTGTTCGTGCATATAAATTTAGTGATTACATGAGAAAAGAGGGGGAAGAGAGAGGTTCGTCATTATTTTAATAATTAATAATTTTTTAATTAATGTTTTGTGTCTTTATATATCAAGAAAAAAATAGCATGTGACATAACAATAATATGTTTTGAGTGTAATTTTTCTAAATTTTAAATATTTACGTTAATCACATACGATTTACCGTGGAACGAACTTTACATTGATTTTCGGGATACGACACGATATTATAAGAACGCAAATCTGTGAGTTTGACTCGAGCCGGTATGACCAGTTTTGGATCGACCTGATGACCTTGATAGAAATGTGTAAAATATAATAAGCGGAATTAATTGGAAATATTTTGTTTTTGATGACATGTCGCGCGACGCAATTTAATGAAAATCGTTTCATCTTCAAAAAATAGACTTTAGAAATTGAAGATTTAAAGACATTGAATACAATTTTTATATCTCTCTCTGTCTCAATCATATATTTTATACTATTAAAAATACTTAAAAATAAACTGTTCTCTTTTTTTTCAGCTAAAGCCGTTGAAATAGGATATTTTTTAATATCAAAATATCGTAAAAACGAAAAGATTGATAAAAAATCGTAATGTGATAAAAATAATTACATGTACTTTAATAAAAATATTGACGCGAGATTTGTTTCTGTAGACTTATAATGTTATCATTATTATTATTATTATTATTAGTAATAGTAGTAGTAGTAGTAGTAGTAGTAAAGCTAATGTTTTTATTCATTTCATAAAATTTAAAGCATTTTAAAAAAATAAAGTGAATTAAAATATCGTTTATTATTTCCTACATTTTGTAAGAGAGATCAATTTAAGAGAGGAAAAAGTCAATTGTTCTCAAAGGATTATCAAATTTTATTGAAAAAAATACAAATACACACACACACACACACACACACACACACACACACACACACACACACACACACACACACAGGCGCGTGCGTCTTTTTGCATTTTATTAAATTATTACAATGTCTGTTATTGTTCGTCTGTTATCTCTGTTTGTACAGGATGTTTAAATTAAAGAGAGTTCACCTTTTATTACGATATATTATGCGTATTAAATAGAACCTAAATATAAAGATAACTTTAGTCGGGGAACTCAGTCGCCTTCAATTTAACGGTCAGTTCTACACGTGAAACATTATGCATATATGATATCTCGTATAATTCTTTCTCGTTAGCACCGTTTGGACCGCATTTTTCTCGGTATTTTATTTATGCTCGTTTATAACTTTCTCAAATCTCTCTCTCTCTCTTTCTCTCTTTCTCTCTCGCGACTGCATTTTGATATTTTAGCAGTTAGTATAAACACGGATGTTCGTGAAAGCACACGTCAAAGCGAGTCAAAACAAATTGCAACGACATAAACAAAATGCGGGCGTTGGTTTTTAAAACAAGCCTGGAGCTATAGCCGCGAAGGATAGGATATACGGTCAGCGTATTTATAGTCTGCCAAGCAGTTGCAAACGGTTGCAACAGAGTATGCTTACTCATGATCTGATATTGCTTCTTCATAAAATTTGCAGGGATATTTGCAAGAAAACGTTTAAAATTTATTATTATATATGGTCCATTTATAATAAATCTTAACAACTTTTTCTTTGAAACTCAATCTTTCTGAGAAGTGACATTTTCATAAATACTGGAGATAATTTGTGATGATTCTTTATAAGATATAAAAAGAATGTATCCTGACAGCATATTTTAAATGTTCTTAAATATAAGTATTTTTTTGTAGAATGAAAAATTTTGAAAACATCTCATAATAAAGGCAATTAATAAGTCATTTTTATCGAATGACGAATCACATTCTATTGACCGTCGAAAGGTCGATGATTTTCTTTGATTGAATAATAACGAGGTCGTTCCTAGCCAGGTTATTTTGTTTGAAAAAGCAAAAAAGAGAGATGGATGAGAAGAAGGGTAAGAAACGGACAGATGAGAAAAAAAAAGACGGAGAGACGTTCTTGCCAAGCAGTTCTCGGTAATACTCAAGTCCGTCTTTGTGCCTTGTGCAGACTAGAGAAGATGCATGCCCACAAAAATGCAAATTGCAAACACAAGCGAATTGAGCACATCGTACGATGAGCTGCATTGCTTTTGATGCCAGCGGTACTTGTAGTCAGCGTCATGTAAAGTTTCATTCATAGCTATCTATTTAGCTCTAATCTATGTATTTATCATTATGACAAATGTACAATCTCATTGATAAATGGCTGATTAGCTGACTGGCTGGCTGGCTGGCTGGCTGGCTGGCTGGCTGGCTGGCTGGCTGGCTGGCTGGCTGGCTGGCTGGCTGGCTGGCTGGCTGGCTGGTTGGCTGGCTGGCTGGCTGGCTGGCTGGCTGGCTGGCTGGCTGGCTAACTGACTAGCTAGCTGGCTAGCTGGCTGGCTGATTGGCTGGCTGGCTGGTTAACTGGCCGACTAGTTAGCTGGTTAACTAACTGGCTAGCTGACTAGCTGACTAACTGGTTAGCTAACTGGCTAGTTGACTGACAAACTAGCTAACTGGCTAGCTAGTTGGCTGGCAGGCTAGCTTTCTCTCTCTCTCTCTCTCTCTCTCTCTCTTTCTCTCTCTCTCTCTTTCTCTCTCTTTATTATATATAAAATATTAAAGTATACATCCAAATATGTTTTTTTCATGTACTAGAGAAGTTAGAAGTGTTGAAAATAAGTGTTTGAAATAAGTGAAGTTTAGCGCCGTTCCTTTCGTAGAGCATGTGCGCGAGTACTTTTGGAAAAATAAATAGATGAGAGAGTTCATCTCCGTTAAAATGTATAATCAAGAAGTTAACGTATATCTCACAGTTGGCGGATAGGATAACAACGGAATGGCGCTTCGTTTGTAAATATAACACTCTTCTAATAGCATCTGTATAAGTCGCCGCTACTTAAAAAATAAGCGAAAACTAAATCTCTTTTTATTTCATGTAAACATGCAATGTGTGCAATATTCCGTCAGCTATATAACAACAGTTATAAATGTATCGTATTTATATAAATAATTTTAAAATACATCTACCTAATTGTTGACAAGTGATATAACTTAAATAAGCAACTGTCACAATACGTTTTGTAATTAATTAATTAATTATATTAATTTACCAATTTTCTCGGGAGCAAAGTCTTGTATAAGAAGAAAAATTTGTTTCCATACAATTTCCATACAATTACAATTCTTCACAGAATTATTTCCTTTTTTACTATTGATCATACATATTTTCTATATATCGGTTGAAATATTATTTTTTTGTTACGACATAATCAACATATATGTTGTAATCAATTACATCTCTGTCCTCTTTTGCTCGGATGTAAAATATTATCAGACTTTAAATATACATACATACATACATATGTATATATTTGACAAGCTTTGTCGCAATTTCCAGACTGGTCATGTGAAAACATCAATGGGAAGCTACTTTATTAAGCCTACTGAATATTGGCGCGAGGACGACAAGGATTCTCTTGAATCTTCGTTACAACACGCAATCTATCGCGTACCCGCGATAGCGTCCAACTCGAATGATAATTTTAATTTTAATATTCCCGAAGATAAAATTAAGAGTCACAACTGTGGTGTGATAGGTAAGTCGAACTGGATATAGATTTAGATTTCGAAATAACTTTATTTTTGTTATCTTTGTTGTATTTATGATTTCGTTATATCTTATTCACCACTAATGTGCTGTTGACACTAGCCATAATTGGTAACGCGTGTATGCGCATAAAGGTGCATTGAGAATATTCATTTATTTTCCATTTTATACGCGATCACGGTCACGATCGCAATCACGATATACGTATTCGCGTTGATTCGATTCATGTACGTCGATATATTTCGAAGCTCGAAACGTATGATCGCACGAGACCACACGAGATTTCAAATGAAACTTTGAGGAAAAGGCGTCGCGTCGTCTTTTTTCACTCCCTGTATACTCGCACGACCACCTGTATCTCAAAACAGGTTCAGGCACATTTACGTCTTCCCTCGGGCAAATTCTGACGTTCCATCGAGACAGCTTGGCGACGCGCATACTTTGCTCACAAAACGAAGCCGTTGATACTCTACTTGTGTTCGAAATTTTCGTCTCCTTTCTACCTATCTATCATTATTACGATTATTTGATTAATAACGTTTATCTCGAATTTATAATGTGCGACGATACAATTATACTGACTCTGATATTTTTGATGTTCCCCGAAAACAATTTCGCACGTTCCGAATTTGTTCGAGTCTCATCCGATCTTAAAAAGGTGTTTCAATCTTTTTGAAACCATATCCAATCTTGCAATTAAAGATCTTATTTGTCTCAATATTTCTCGATGTTGCTCGTAACATATAATAATACAACTTAATGCAGACAAACACTGTTTTAAATCTAAGAAATTTTGCAATGTTTTTGGGATACTTTCCGTCAATGTATAAAAATTAAGTCAAATGTGTAATTTTGATGTGTATGTAATTCAAATTTTAACATAAATTTAAAAAAAAACTAATTCCATCGTATTCATTATTATTGTTATATTACAGATTATGATTCAGATGACAGACCCACGTTAATGGACGATAATTTTCATAAGTTTTACGTCGGAGCGCATTCAAGAGAACGAAGATCATTATTGATGACACGAAAAGAAACCGCATCATTGGAACGAGAGCAACAAGAACGGAAATACGAGCGATTCGCAGAACAGAACAAGCACCGTCTGGATTTTTTCCAAAAGGTGGATTACGACGACAGGTATAGATACAAACGAATATGCAAATTTTTTGCATATATATTAAAAAAAGGAAACACACAGACACACACACACATACACACAATGTACATTTTATTCGAGCGTAATTATTACGCATTTTTTAATATCAAAAATTCATCGAGAGATTTTTTCAATTCAGATATTATACTTATTTATCCCCAAAATAAGAAAGTCTCTTGACAAGATAGCAGAATTAGCGTAAAATAGATGGTCGTAAAAGTAGTGCGTGTAAAAGCGTGCGTGTAAAAGCATTTATGTACGTTTTATCTCAATCTCAGGTTTTATAATGTGTAACGTAAACGCAGCTATCAGAACGAGGAGTACACTCAGGATCCAAAAATGGATTCGGATTTCTTCGTAACGTGGAGACCACGGCGAGCCTTACCGCGTGAATATTTCATCGAGATCATGGTGGTGGCAGACGCGAAAATGGTGGAATATCATGGCAGCGGCTTAGTCAATTACATTCTTGTCCTAATGAGCACGGTAGGTATATATTATTCTTGGATATATAATTTCTTACATTCCAATTTGAAATTTTTTACAATAACGCGTAATTAGGTGCATATTCTTATATCTTCTCATAAAAGATTACCGATTGACACGTTTCTTCATGCTACAAAGATATATATAGATGTGTTGTGTTGTGTGTCTGTGTGTACGTATAAAGTAATACAATTGAACTCGCAATCTCACTCGTCTCTCTGTCTTCTTATGTAATAATAATTGTTGATGATGAACAATCTAAAATAGATTGTTTTGATAGCGAAAATATTAAAGTATTTTTATAATTATTTGACGATAAAAAATTGTTGGCAAATATAATTTTTTCAAACGTAAATTTTGGAAGAGAGAAAATGGAAAGCACATTTGATTGATTCTAAGAGAGTGGACTTAACAAAAGACTTTAATTTAAAGTTTTGTTGTAAAAACATGTAGTATTAATTAAAAGATTGCGATAATATTTCTCTTTATATCAGTCTAAGAAAAGATGAATCTCTGTTAGATTGTAAAATTGTAAAGAGTTAGAAAAATATATACTATAATTTAAAAAAAGGACATGCAGCAATAAACTGACAAGGAAATCTCGCAAACTCGGAAATTCTGATTTTAATAAAATTTTATACACATGAAAGGGGAAAATGGAAAAAATAATTTTTTTTACAGATTTCTTTTCAAAATTATTTTCTTTAATTTTGTTAATGTCGTTTTAAACAGATGTTTTAATTATGAAACTTTTGTATAAAATATTTTTCGCTATTTCGAATAGTTTTCGAGATATATCGAGAAAAATAAAAAGTCGCTCTGCATATGAAAAGTAGTTTCATCCTTTAGAATCATTTTTAGACGCAACTGAAAATTTCTAAATCCATCTACCCCTCCTACATGTGTCTAAAGTTTCATCAAAATCAAAATGTCCCTGTTTACAAAGCTTCCTTGTGAAATAAACACTATTACTGATGATTCGACAATTTTCAAATGCATCGACACAAAAAAGGATAATTTTCGCCAAAAGATGAAAAGAAGAAAGTGAGTTTGTGTGTGTGTGTGTGTGTGTGTGTTTTATGCTTATGTTTTTTTATCAGAAATAAATTTCTGATAAACACATACATAGAAAGAAAAAAAAAAGAAAGCAAATGAGAAACATCCGTTCGATATAATTCGACAATTAGTCTCGTTATAGCGGTCATTATCGAATACGCTACGCCACAGTTATATATCCCACGCGAAGGCCACACCTTACCTTGCGGGGGCAACATCCTGCGAGGAGTTTGCTTTCACAAACCTACGCTCCTCCTCGTTCATTCAATGTGATTCAATCATATTTCTCAATAACTATTAATCAATATTAAGATGCATGATTTTTTCATGAATGAAAAAGCAGAAAAATTTGAAATAGATACTTCATGTTTATGATGTTAACCACCTAAAATTCACTTGGCCGTATGATAATACACACACACACAATCATTCCAATCTATTTCACCAATTTTTCCTTTCATTTCTAAAGTGCAATTATAACTTTTATATATAATTTTCAGCGTCTTTATATTTTGCCAATCCTTCTCTGATGATCAAATTTCATTTTCTGCATTGGCTGCATTGGCTACATCCATGCAGCCGCAAAATATTTGCATTAAATGTTTTTTTTTAAATAAAATTATACACTTGTAATATATTTTTTTACGGTAATCGATTTCTTTCGTTATTTTGCGCATTTTAAGAGAATTAAATTGTTCTGAAGAATTATATAAATGCATATATTTTACATTTTATATTAATATTTTTACATACGTTTCATTTTAATTGTGTGTTGGTTATAGCTATCGGACCTAATTAAATTAAATTTGAATATCGATATAATTATAATTGTATGAAATAATATCTTTAAAATGTACTCCTTCTAATGAACTACACTTGTTTCAATAATTTTATTTAATAGATGACTATTTATTTATATAAAAAAATCAAAATTCTAGAAAAAAGTGCAATCTGCAGATATATCGAAGAACTTGTTAAAAATATTAAATCGTATGAAAATATGGAGTTTATTAAATCAATTTATTAAATAAATTTTTTATATGTGCAAAATAATTAATTATATGTTATATTATTTATATTTTTTATATGTGCAAAGTAATTAAGTTTATTAAACAAAAATTTTTATACGTGCAATATAATTGCAAATTGCGAGATTATATATTATTGTATTTGCATTTTTGATAGGTTTCACGTATCTATAAGGATCAGTCTATCGGCAATCCAGTGAGTATAGCTGTGATGAAGATTATCAAGACTGACGAAATATTTGGTATCAAGCATAGCGGAAGCGATGGAATCGCGGCGGCAGAAATGTTAAAACAATTTTGTCAGTGGCAGAAACGCAACAATCCGGATGAACCTTCACCGGAACATCACGATGCTGCACTTCTTTTAACTAGGTTTGTATTAGAGAGAGAAATCTGTATTATAAAAATATATATTCTTTTACACGATATAAAATTTGTCGTTGAAAATATTTTTTTTATATAAAACTTGTATAAAACAAAGTTAAGTAAAATCTCTTGGTTAAGTATAAGTGATTAAAATTAAAATCTCGTTTTTTTTAATTATTTAATAAGTTAATATTTAATATGACACAACGTTAAATAATCGTAAATGATAAATTTTGCAAATTGTTTTTTGTATGGATATTAAATTTATCCAAATAAATAATAATTGTTACATACACACGCATACATAAAATCAAGATCCAAAGAATATGTACGATTTAATAATTATTCAACGTATATGTAAATGAAAAGTAAATTTTTAGAGAAAATTTATGCCACAATCCGGGTCAAAAGCGTTGCGATACTTTGGGATTAGCCGAATTGGGTAGAATGTGTTCGCCAGGATCTTCGTGCGCCATCGTACAGGATAATGGATTAGCTGCGGCGTTTACTATCGCGCACGAGATTGGTCACGTGTAAGTATTAGTCATTGGTCATAATATGCGATTTATTTATTCTTTGCAACCTGTATATTGCATCATATGTACCGAGTTATAGAGTGTCTCCTTTACTGAAATCTTGTTGCTAATTGCATTTATCATATGAAATGTTTTTTTCCCCATTAATATAATTTCAATCTTACTTGGAGCTTTTTTCTCTTCTTTTCTTCTTCGACATGGTAACTGTTCTTGTTTTAACATATACTTGGAAAAAATATTCGGAATGAATTACAGGCTCAATATGCCGCACGACGACGATGCCAAATGCGCAGGTTTCAGGAATCGTTCGGGTGTACACAATGTGATGTCCCGCATGCTGGACGATAATACTTTTCCCTGGGAATGGTCCAAGTGTTCCCGATACTATGTCACCGAATTTCTCGAGTGAGTCAGTCATGAGTTAATTGGCATACAACTCGGTTATAAATGACGTGTTGGAGCATTCTAAAAGGAGAGATCGTTAATAATTGACCTCTGTGTGCTTCGTACAGTATGTAATGCCACATCAAGTTTTGTCGCTAAGTTGATTTCTAAGTTGATCTATTCTGTTATCGTCTGCGATGTAACTAAATCTTTAATCCATCAATAGCCATTGTGATCGCCGTCTTATTTTTAAAGTGAAAATTTTATTCTGATTATATAAAATAATAGTAAAAGTTTTTCGATTATTGTTAATATTTTATCGATGTGTATTAAAGTTTCAAGCATGAAATCGATTCAAATTTGAATCAAGCAATTACAAAGAACATTATTTAAGAATATTTTATGATAGTATTTTATGATAGTATTTTATGATGATAAATGATATTGTGATCACATTTATACATTTTTCCAATCTTTTGAGCAAAACACACGGGAAGCTTTCGGATTAAATTTTTTAATTTTAATGTAAAATTATAAAAAAATTTTCTACATACGTTTCTATGTATGTTTCTATAAATTATTGTATTTAATTTGATAACTTTTCATGTTTTATTAAAAAAACTAGAAAAATATAAATAGAAATGTGACTGCAATATAATCTATCATTATAAAATATCTACTATCATCTTAAATTAATATTCTTTGTAATTGTTCGATTCAAATTTGAGCTGATTGCATCTTCATCCTGAAATTTAGTTTCCAAAAACTTTTCAATTGCAATCTTAGCTTACATAACTCGAAAGCTGCCAGTGTAGTTCTCGAGTCTTTTCATCGAGAAAAAAAATCGATTCAAAATTGATCAGAAAAAAGATATGCAATTTATTAAAAAAATGCGCTTGATGATCAGATACCCTGCATGTTTCTGCAAGATAATAACAGATAGATATATTGCGCATTAAATAAACTTAATCGGATCAAATTAAAGCTTTATTTATCATACTTATTATCCGAATAAATCAATTATATTTCAATCAGACAATTAATTAAACTGTCGTCACCCCCAAAATGTGTATTAAAGATATTTTTGTTTTTCAATCATGATCTAAGTGCGAATGATAAAGTCAGGAATAAAGCATTTAAATGTTAAATGAGTCGATTTTTTGTTTTTCAAAAAACGCAACTCAGACAGATTAATTTAATTGGAAAAGCAAGATCGTGATTCGTTTTTCAGCGAAGGGACCGAAAGGAATCATGGTCCATTCTTAAAAATATCGTTTTACGAACCTCTAAGAGATATACAGGTACATTTCTCGTACCTTTTGTATTATATTTTATGCATTGTTGCATGAAAAATATTACTCATTAAATATGTGAATCGAACGTCGAAATACATACTATCTTTCGCAACGAACATGCATAAAGTCCATAGAATCGGAAATGTTTTAATCAAGTAGCAACTTTTGTTTTAGAGCCGGATATGCCAATTGTTTACTAGACGAACCAAGCAAAACAATGGAGAGACAAAACGGTCGATTACCTGGTGAGGATTATTCGGAAAACAAACAGTGTGAGCTCGTCTTCGGGCAAGGATCTAGAATCTGTCCTCACATGGTGAGTGATGGTAAGTCGAAAACGTTCTCTTTGATCGAGATATAATTGCAACTCGAATAATTGTAGAAATACATCCTATTCTTGCGTTTATGTTATTCTCATTCGATCAATTTGTATCATTGGATATTTTATTCGGAATGTTATTCGTTCTTTATTTTTATGATGAGATAAGATGTATATTTTAATGATTATATTTCAAAAATAGACATCGTGAGACGAAAACAAGGAAGAAATGATTATATATATTTGTTTGTAATGATTATACTATTTTTGCTCGAGTATTATTTTTTCTTGATCACTCTATCTTGATTTTACTTAATGCTACCACTACGACATTTAATTTACTTAAGAATTGAAGTAAATTGGGGGCTTGGTTGGTTACCGGCCAGGCAGTGTGTAGGAGACTGTGGTGCACCGCGCCACTGTGGGATCATCATCAGCAGTGCCATACTCAGCATATGCCGTGGGCTGACGGTACACCATGCGGTGTCGACAAGTGGTGTCATCGGGGCGAATGCGTCTCGCGCAGAAATCTTGAACCAGTGGACGGTCAATGGGGCGAATGGGGAAGATACGGCGAATGCTCGCGAACCTGCGGTGGAGGCGTCAAGAGAAAGTATCGCGAATGCGATAATCCGGCACCGAAAAATAGCGGCAATTACTGTATCGGTGAGCGCGTCAAATACCGCAGTTGTGGCACTAGAGAGTGCCCGCCAGGCAGTTCAGATTTCAGGTATGTGTTATTATGTATCATTATTTTGTCTCAAGGTCTTTTGCTTTTTCAACGAGTGAAAACTAAATCTAGCAGTGAGAAATAAATTTACGGTAGCAGAAATCTATCAATTAACTAGTATTTGGAAAAATAAATATTGCCGATGAGAGAGAGCGAAAGAGCGGAAGGCACAACACGATATATAATTGTCAGAGGAGAGACGCATTCCTTCTTTTTCCTTATATCTTTTTTTTACAGAGAACAGCAGTGCTCGAAATTTGACAACAATAATTTCAACATTCAGAATCTCGCTAGGGATGTCAAATGGCATGCAAAGTACACTAGAAGTAAGTAATTATATACATATACAAATTTGTATGTGCAAACATTTTATTAATAAGTATCTAATAAGATAATGATAGAGATTGTAATATTGTCAATGCGATTAGAGAGAGCGATGTGTTGTGTACTATTTACAAAGCCGGTTTCCGGTTTCAACTCGAGAATTATCCTAGCGCGAATCTCTTTTACAGTATTACCGCAAGACCGTTGCAAACTGTACTGCCAAGTGGAAAGCAATCAGTATTATATGCTACGTGATAAAGTAATCGATGGGACACCCTGTGGGCCCGATACTTTTCACATATGCGTTAACGGCCAATGCAAACCGGCTGGATGCGATCACGTTTTGAATTCGACGGCCGAGCTCGACACTTGTGGAGTCTGTAGAGGTGACAACTCTACCTGTCAAAGAATCACAGGCTCCTACAACGCTAGTGTGTACGGTTACACGAAAGTAGCTAAAATCCCTGCCGGTAGCAGTTACATCGATATTAGACAACACGGATGGCTAGACTCTCATAACGATAGTAATTATCTTGGTAAGATTTTTCTGTCAATAGATAAAATATAATAATGATAAAATATAAAAGCAGTTTGAATTTAAATGCTACATTTTGAAAGATACTCTGTCTTTTATACACATACGCGCGCACAAAATATTTCATAATAAACTATAAACATCTTATTAATCACAATGTATTGTCATTACAGCGTTACGAATTGGAGAAGACGGCGAATATATTTTAAACGGCAACTTTATGGTAATGCATCGTAAAGTGATAGTGCATCCGGGCATCACCATTGAATACAGCGGACCAGAATCGATTGTAGAACGGTTAAATAGTTCTCGGCCCATTGTCATGGATTTAATTTTGGAGGCAGGTTTAAAATTAACATTTAGATTTACATCATTCGCAGTCGACAGTAACTTACTCTCAAACAAAAATACGATATTTCAGGTGTTATCCGTAGGAAATGTGTATCCGCCGCAAATAACATACGAGTATACTGTACCGAAAAAAATTCTAAACAACTTCACATGGTTACTCAGCGATTGGTCGACTTGCAATCGAATGTGCCAGGGTATGCAATACCGTAAAGCCATATGTAGGAGTACCGAGCATAAGGACGAAGTGCCCGACGATTACTGCAGAGGCGAGGAAAAACCGCAAGAAGACAGTCAGATATGTAACGCAAATTGCATGCTGCAGTAAGTAAACAACGCGCGCATGAAAATATTATTAAATTTTTCGCAACATTAATACATATAATGTATTGTGTGTATTATTTGAAAAAGATTTCTACCGTGCTTACGATTAGTAGATAAGCACACAAAGATATGCGCATACGTTCAATTTTAGCCAAGTACACACACAAGTGTAATCAAAATTTTAACAATGTTCCTTCCCCATGAAATTTTACCGCGCCAGTTCCAAAGATCCATCGTGTATTTTCAGGTGGCAAATGATTTCTGTGTCCGAATGTTCGAATCATTGCGGCCCAGGCGTGCGGACCGTCACTTGGCGATGCGTTCAAATCCTGTTAAACTCACCGTCGCATTCCCCGCGACCGGCACCGGCACATGCATGCTTGCATATTGAAAAACCGAGTGAGCATCAGCCATGTGTAGGTCCCTGCGACGATGCTCATTGGAGTTACAGCGAATGGAACACCTGTAGCGTCTCGTGCGGCGGTGGTGTACAATTGAGAAGCGCGATATGCGTAGATTCAAATGAGAGACAAGTAGGAGACGAAAATTGCGCCAAACAAGAAAAGCATCTCAAGAGAATATGCAGCCAGGAGGCTTGTCCGAAATGGGATCTAGGAGAATGGAGTCCGGTAAGTGAAAGAAGAAATAACAAAGAAAAAAACATTATACACAGAGATACGCATGCGATACTTTATTCGTCGGTCAATTTGCCTGGAAAATTTCTCTTGAAATGTATAAATTAATTGTAGAAGAATATACATTTCGACATTAAAATTTTAGAAATTGGGAGAAAATTTGTATTTTAAAATTATGATTAATTCTTTTTCTTTTTAAAAAAAAATTACTTTTCGAAGTATTAGTCTGTCGTATTTTTACCGAGGACTATTTATATAATTTGAACTGATATAAAAAAAGACACGTTTTACGAGAGAGAAAGAGAGAGAGAGAGAGAGATAAATATTGTTGTGCAGTGTTCCGTGACTTGCGGCGTGGGAAAACGGCACAGAACCTCCTGGTGTCAAGTCGAGAATCGCGTAGTATCGCGTACCTTCTGTAGCGGTACACCAATTACAACAGAAATCTGCACTGCTGGTCCTTGTTATCAATGGCATGCTGGCGACTGGAGTCCGGTACGATATTATATTAGATAGTTTTATCCCAAAATCGATAATTATTGATATGTCTAGTTGAATTTAATCTCTCTTATTGTTGTCTTAGTGTTCGGTAACATGTGGCGAAGGAGTATTGCGCAGAAAAGTTGTTTGCCAGAATGCCAATGGTGTAACGAGCAACGAATGTCCTATATCCGAAAAACCGGAGACTTTAATTGCTTGCACATTAAAGCCATGCCTTAATATCGTAAGTCAGTTGTATATGTACATTGCAATTATTTATTTATTTATTGATGACAATGATATAATAATTCAAATAAAATTATTAAAATATCAATAGAATAATAAATATATATAACGCGCGCGCGTGTTATATATATTTATTATTCTATTGATGCTGTTGTATTGGAAATAATACTAATAATAACAACATTAAAAAATAAGGTAATATATATATATATATATAATAATATATATATATATATTATTTTATTATTGTTATTATTATTATTACGAGATGGGAACGGACTCTATTTTATATGCAGATGAAGGAAAAATTAATATTATTACATGTGAATAAAAAATGTAGAAATTATTATTATTGCAAAATTAAATATTTTTTCATATATATTATTTGTATCTCTGATATAAATCTTGTAAAAGTTTTTATTATTTTTCTTTTTTAGGTCAGTTTACCGCCCATCATTTATTCATCCAATTCTCCACGTGAAGATCCCCCTCAACAGGATAATGAAATCGACAGCAATGGTATTACGTTCCATTCGGGTTACAAATGGCATGTAGGATCTTATGGACAGGTGGGCTTACTTATATTTTATTCTTGAATTTGTTTGTTAATATATATTTATTTATACACAACTTATAAAAGTATTTTAAAAGGTCTATTATAATCTATTATTTATTTAAATTTTGTTATTTATTTTGCGTATTCTACATATAAAATTTATCGTTTTCATATATAGTGTTCGCACAAATGCAATGCCGGATACAAAAGTAGAATAGTGAAGTGTATATCTTCGGAAACGGGAATAATCGCGCCCGATTATTATTGCGACTCGAGTCAACAACCGATGGTCAAAATTGCGTGCAATCGTCATCCATGTCCAACTTGGAATACTGGTGATTGGAGCGAGGTATTGAAACAATTTCACAGGATTATTCCAAATGTTATATAAGCAAATAAAAATTTTATATATATCGTTAATATGTAAAATGTGTATCACATTTGATAAAAATAATATCTATTAACGGAAATATATCTTTTTTTCCATACAATTATATCTTATGTTACATAAGAAATTAAATAATATAAAATTATACTTTGCATGCGCACGCATGTTTTTATTATTTATTTTTGCAGAATATTTTTTTTGAACGCATAAAGAAAACAAACATAATGTACTGTCGAGTAATTATTTCTTTCGATGAATGTTTTGAATGGATTTAGTGCAACGTAGAGTGCGGTAATGGATTCCAGCATCGCCAAATTCGTTGCCAAAATCATTATGGCGAAACTTTGCCGGACGAGGAATGCATCGACGAACAACCAAAATATGTGCGGAGATGTCAGAAGGAATCTTGCAAAAGTAATCCTAAACACACTAGAGAGAATAATTTGGAATCCAATATTGTCCGCAGATGGAAAATGTCTAATTGGACTCCCGTGAGTGTAACATCATATATTAGTGTTATAAAATAAGAACAAAACGCAATCAAAAATATTTCTTCAATTTTCTAATATTCAATATTCAGAAGCAAATCGTGCGGATAATGACCGCTTTCTTTTGGGATTAAAATGTGATAAAATTGAATTAAAGAAAAGCTTTATAAAAGCGGAATATAAGTTTATATAAAGAATCACACAATATATATACATATATGCAACAAAAATTTTAAATTTAAAAAAATTTTTTAAAGGGATGTCAAACGGACTATAAATTACGATTTTTTTAACGTAAAAGTGACATAACTCGGAAATGACTTATTTCCCGAAGTACTACGGGCGATTTTCTGGACACTGTGTGTGTATGTGTATATATATACATATATATATATATATATATATATATATATATATATATAAAGATCTCTCTCTCTCTTTCTCAAAAATTAAAAAAAAATAGGAGCTTTAAAAAATGACAGACTATTGTATTGGACAAAATAATTTCAAATGAATTGCTTTTATTTCTTAACAAACTTTATGTCAATGAATAGACATAATACGGATAATAATGAAAATGCTCGGCATATGGCATTCAATTGATAATTGAATGTGTCGAGATTGTTGCAGTGCTAATTTTTGTCATAAATGACAATATGTAATTAGCAATAACAATATGTCATAATAGACAAATGTGATTAGCTTGTTCTGAATCGAATTATTTTGCAGTGTTCGAAATCGTGTGGTACTGGCATTCAGATGCGAAGAGTAGAATGTATAATGAGAAGAGGCAACCATGGACCGGAACTACCTGTTAAGGACGAACAGTGCTTGAGATCGAAATCACGCAAGCCAAAATCTCAGAGATTATGCCAACGTGTTGCTTGTGATTATATCTGGCAAGAAGGCACCTGGTCGGAGGTATCTTATCCAGCATTACAATCATATCTGTGTTATTGACATGAATTTCACATATGTTTTAGTTATAATTTTGGAAAGTAAAGCTGCGCGTACGAATAAAATTTGAAAATAAAATTGAATCTTTTCCATGAACGAATGTATGTATACATATAGCAAGAGAGAATAATAATTATATCATATTTGATTTTAATCGAAAGAAATATTGAAAATATGCAGAAGAAATGTAAAAATATATAGGAAATTTCAATAGTATTATATTCAATAGTATTATAATTTCAATAGTATTTTATTAGAGATGTCCATGGGATACTATAATGGAGAGATGTTTTCTTTTTTTTTCCTTTTCTTTTTTTAATTTTCATTGCGCATGTTATTAACTTTACATTCAAATTTGTTGAAAAGTCTATAAAATATTTTCCAACAAGTTTTGCAATTCTTTGACCACTAATGTGAAGGATCACAGACCCTATAAAATTCTTTCCTGCGCGCTTATTTATTTCTCCCTCTTATTATAATGATAATTATATTAATAGTTGAAAATATAAACGCAATTAAATAAATGCGTTTGTGTCTTTTCCAAGTGTTCGGTTAAATGTGGCGAAGGAATACAGCGTCGTGCAGTCACTTGTCATAGAGTGAATTCCTACGGATGGATCGATCCAACTCCAACTAAGGGTTGTCCAATGGATCAAAAACCAGCCGAAGATCAACCTTGTAAACTACGAGAGTGTAGTGATAAATATTACTGGGTCGCTGGCACATGGAGAAAAGTAAGCGCATTCTCAGAATTTTATTTTAATTGAAGCGGTCATTATTATATCGTATATATTTATTAACAGTTAAAGTGCAAAAAGGCAGTTCCTCAAAGAAATCAATCTTCCAAAAAAATGATTTATTTACATAAAATTCAGAAAAGTTATTTATATATTATTTGTGTAAAGAAGAAATTATAAAAATATTAAGTAACGTAATGTGTAATGAATTATAATTATCTGTTTCATGTTTATGCAAACATTTGCCATATCTCTCTCTTTGACTTATAAAATCGTAGAAATTCTTTTTCATTTAATCCAATAAATCTTGTCGTTTCGTCGGAAAGTTTGAGAGAGAAGGAAAGAGAAAAGTGCTTTAATGTCTTTTCTGTTTTATCTATTTTAGTGTAGCCATCCTTGTGGACGAAAAGGTCGACAAATCCGTAAAGTTTACTGTCACGATGCAATCGGCAAAAAAGTTGCGCGGTTTTACTGTCCAATCGAATATAAACCACAACGGAAACGTAAATGTAATCAAAGAAGATGCGGGCCAGTCACTTGTCTTGAAATTCAGAAACGACTTAAAGCTACCACAGACGGTGAATATTCATTATTAATTGGTGGTAGAAATATGACGATTTATTGTCACGGAATGTCGAGCATCGAGCCACGAGAATATCTGACATTGCCAGCTGGCGACAGCGAAAATTATGCAGAAATTTACGACAAAAGGTTAGTCAACTACTTCTTTTCTCTCAAATAACTATGTATTATCGATTCATCGATCCGTCTTACAGAACAGTACATTTTCCTTATTTTTGTATCCATTTTATATTCTTTTTTACATATTATTATTAGTTTATTAAAGGACAAGTTTATAATATCTATTCTTAAAGAGATGTATATTCTTTCTCTCTTTCTAGATTGATTATTCGAATATTTGTTTCTCCAAAATATTTTATTTCGCTATTCATATTATTTTACATAATAAATGTTTTATTGCATCTTATTCTCGGAATATTCTTTAGAATATTATTTTCCCAGCGATTCAATAATCTTCTTTAAAGACATTAATAATATGAATAAATCAGGTTGAACAATCCACGCACGTGCCCGTTTAATGGTCAAAGGAATGACAGTTGCAATTGTGTGTCCGAATTGGAGACAGTTTCTGGTAGAACAATGTTCAAAAGAGTACGCATAGATCCTGCGAGACTCTATATTATAAGTAAGTAATTTGAAAAACTTTAACAAGATTTATTATATAAATAAAAGTATTTTTATACATTTACGATTTAAATTATTTATGTACACAAACTTGTCAAAAGACAAAACATTTTGAACAAAAATATTATAGTTTTACTGGGACATAGATGTGTATGATCCACGCTGTATACATATACATATATGTATTATATAAATGTCTTAAATAATTAACGTGAATTATATTTGATTTAATACTAAAAGTGAAAAGATCTCAATATTTCAACACAATTGCTGTAATCCCAAAAACAAACTTCTGCTTAGTGTATTTATGTGTAATATTAAAGTTATGCAACAAAATATTTTGTAAATTTCTTTATTTCCATAATATTTTTATAGTCATAAAATAAAATAAAATAAAATAATCTTATATAAACGTTATTATACATTATTTTGTATAAGATATAAAATTATCTTATATAAACGTGATTATATATTTGATCGCTTGATGTTTAGCAAATGATTACACGTTCTCGTGGACGGAAGGAATGAAACGCGTGGAGTATGGCAAAGCCGGTGATTGTTATAGCCTCACTGATTGTCCACAAGGACGTTTCAGCATCAATTTAAGAGGAACCGCTTTGGGATTATCGCCAACAGTCACATGGGTTACAGAAACTTCAAACGCTTTTCTTGCGATCAATAAAATCGTAAGTAATCGAGAAAAGATTTGCCATATATCATATATCATATATCATATATCATTGAAAGATTGAAAACAAAACTTATATATATATATATATATATATATATATATATATATATATAAAATTTTAGTATATATGTATAGTCTTTATTAAGCAACACAGTGATCCTTGGTCTCGATATACTTTTTCAGTATATTTTTCCCTCGAGAGAGATTTGTTTCCAATGTTATTTTTATTTCAATAACTTTATTTACAAAAATAACAAATTTGTTATGTCGCGTCTTGTTATCAAGTCTTTCTTTTGTACATATACCTAAATATTAAAAAATAATCTCTCTAATTTCTCTCTAATTTATCACGCATTGAAAACATTAATATTGTTTATTATCATAATTTTTAACCAACTTTTAACAAAAATTTTGCTTGAAAAAGCATGAATTTCCTTCTTTTTTAATATTAAATATAATTTTTGATAATTTTCACGCATACACACATCTATATACTTATATAACTTATGTTTATGTTATATTTAGAATGATCAACGAATTCTCGGTAAATGTGGTGGTTATTGTGGCTTTTGTAAGCCGAAGACAGGCCTAAAACTGGACGTATTACCTCCCTAGTCACAGCCTTCAAGTTTTCGTATTACGTTTATTTGTTCTATATATCCTGCTACATATGAGCCGTGATATTATATTTAACCACCGATTTGCTTTAAACTCGATTAGTTTCCTAGTAACTTTGGAGTGTATGTATATATATATATATATATATATATATATATATATATATATATGTATGTATGTATATTTGAGATAACGATACTGAAATTCATAGATTGGCGAGTTGCGAACCAATATAACGAAATGCACATGACACAATATATAAGCTATCACTGCCATCATGTGTGCGATTATGTAAATTAAAATGAATTATAAAGCTTATGTTGTTTTAAACATATGTTGCGCTTAATGGTTCGTAAACATTGCTTTATAAAGTTGAATTTTTATACAATCTATTAAATAATCTACAATAATATGCATAAAAACAAAGCATAGGAAAGAATGATCGTTGTAAAAGCATATTGAATTTGCGTAATCAAAGATCTTTATCTATTCTTCTTTCTTTTAGTTTTCTCTTTTATCAAGAATTGAATTTATTTCTACAAAGTGTAGATAGTAATACACAATGTGTGTTTGCGCATTTAAATATGCAAAGATATTCGTATCAAGTTACAAACATATGTATAATCGTGCTGTGTTTGTAGAAGACATAGTGTCACATTATAAATGCAAAAGTAAAAAATTAAAAAAAGCACTAGAAAAGCAAATACAAATATTCTTTATTCTTTGAAATATTCTGGAATATTTTTCTTTACAATTATAGAAAACGGTTTTTCCTTCTTCATGCAGCATAAATCAAATTCTTAGCAGATATAATGTAATAAAGAAAATTAATCAAATATTACTCACTGTATGTATTTTGTACACAAACTTGAAATGGATAATGACACTTACATCATGTTCTACAAACATTTTACGATTGATGTTATGCTCTCTTTCTATAATTTTATAATTCTATAGTTTGCCTTTTTTATCGTGATTCACTGCCCTTTTTATCGTGATTCACTGCCTTTTTATAATGCTCCATCAATTTTAAACAAAAGAAATATTCAGGAAAAAATTTTATTTTTACTTTTAATAATAAAATCTCAATAGAATATATATATATATATATATATATATATATATATATATATGTGTGTAAGTATATATAGTCTATAATTGAATTCTGTAGCCTAAACAATTTCTAGTTTCTTCTAGTTTCTTCTCTAGACAGAAGGAAATTGTAGTTTTCAGGAAAAAAAGAGGTATGATAGTTGAGTTTATGTACATTTATTGCGTGCAATAAGCAAGTAGAAAAACTTGCGAAATTTGTTGAACAAATTGCAGAGTACTTTTTTACTTTTCTTTTATTTGTATCTTGAAAAAAGTTTTATTCATCTTATTTTATCGAAGGTAATCTATTGCAGCAATATATTGCAGTAATATTAATAGCATAGAAGCGCGAATAAATCTATTAATATTATAATTCAATATACGCATATAAATATAATATATTTTCGAAAATATAAATTGCACCTATTGTCGCTAAAACGATGCGCTCTCTCTCTCTCTTTCTCTCTCCCCCCCCCTGCCCCTCTCCCTCTCCCTCCTTGTGATATATATTTGAAAATTCGAGTTTTACCATTACCGATGTAATTTTGAAAGTTTATTATAATCTTTATTTTTCCCCTTTTTCCTTTTCTCTTTTTCTTTCATTTTCATTTCATTTAAAAGTTTTTGATAACTGACATAAAAATTAAAACTAATATTTTAAAATAAGATAAATTTATTCAAATTTAAGATATATGATTCTGTTATTAATTTAAAATTTGAGAGAGACATTTATTGCTAAATATATAAATGTATGTAAAAAAAACTTTAGTTTAATAAAGATCAATGATATTTTTTAAGAACACTGATATTTATTAAGAAATGTGAAGCGAAATCAAGCAAAATTGACTTCGGCAATAAATGTGCCAGCTAATTTGCATCCAGCTCTTATTTGTTTGCAATGTAATCAGAAGCTTATAGATATAATGATTATAGATATATACATTTTTATTAATGAGAATATGGATGCCTCCACACACATACATTTAATTACATCAATTCAATTAGTGAAAACAGGTGAAGTTTATAAATAAAGTTTGTAAACTTATTCAATAACATTATTTTGTATCTTTTGTATCTTATTCGCAATTGCAATCTAGAAGAAGAACATGTTTTATGCTTCGTTTTTTAGCTATAATGCGTATAATTGTGTTATATTATTAATGGAAATCTATAAAATTTGTACAAAGCTAATATATATATGTATGTGTATGTATTTATATATATATATATATATATATATATATATATTAATATTTATGTTATAAAGTAATAGTAAAGTTTATTAGCGAGCGTCGATTAGACATGCCAACTATGTTCTCACATAGTTTTCTATATTTTCCAAATGGAACATAAAAAAGAATTGAGTGAATGCACATTAATAATAAGTGTATCCAATCGAAATCACAAGAAAATTTTGTTGTATTTTTATTAAACCGCGCCAATTTAAGAATGACATTGACATTGACACGATACCAAGTCTTTTTATATTAAACAGCCAACAAGATTGGTCAATGTAATAAATCATTTGGTTAACGATTGCCGTTGGACCGACTTGTGTAAATGTGTATGTTGATCCATTTGTTGGACATTATGTAATACATATTGCCTGTTGGCTATATAAATATGTGTATTTGATAGACTGCCATAGTTAATATTATTATATATATGTATATGTATACACATGCTCGCGCACATACACACACACACACACACACACACACACACACACACACACACACACACACTTATGTAATGAGTAATCTGCCATAATCTTGGCCACAATGTAGCATAATAAAATATGACGGAACTGTACGATTTATTATGTAATATGAGTATATAAATGCATTTTTCAGCACGCATTTTAAAAGTGCCAAAATTAATGATATTAGTCGCGATAGTTTTGATAAAGTTTTATATATATAGGAAAAAAAATGCTCGATATTTTTACTAAAAAATTCGTGTATTAATATTAGCGAAATTATAAGATAATCGGTTAATAGACAAATCATTATTGAAATGTAGATTATTTTGTAGATCACATTGTGTATTATTAAGATAAAAGCATTATTAATAGTTTGCATATGTCTCTCGAATATGCTGCTAAAACATATGTGTGTAATTTTCATATCATAAGACATGTTACTTATTATAGAACAACATTTTCAATTCAACTTGGCAGGCACCTCAACTACGACAAGCTAGTTTACAAATAATCTAGCATGAGAACAGACACTTTATGTGACGAATTTACATATCTAATATTATAGGCAGCTAATTGATCGGTTATTGTTTAGTAATAATTATTAAATATACGAGAATCCGTTGTTTTATAATTTTATATATTTACCAATATATCATATATTGTGTAATATACACTAAAAATGTCTCAAGTGTTCCAAGATTTATTAAATGGGCATTTTTGAGTAGCACATCTACTTTTATGATATATACACACTAGTTTCGATTAGATCTATGAGATATTCTTTATCTTGTAGTCTTTTTTTTATTTATTATTTATCCTCGAGCGAGATGATACATTATATTTATATAGTTTTCAGTCGAATAATTAACGATTAAAAGTAAGAAACTTTTAATAAACTAAATTCGAAAAGAGTCTAAAATAAATGATAACATGACATTCTTGGGTCAAATTTTTGTTATTCTCTTCTCAGTAATATATTATATATTATAATTTTCTTTATTATCAATATATCGAATATTTTTTACTTTTATGTGCAATTTTATCTTATACAAGTTTCAAATAAATATAAAATGTATTTTTTTTATTGTAAAGTTTTTCGAAGAAAAGTGTACAATATTGATTTTTTTATAATGGTGTGATTGTAAGAAATTCCATACGAACCAGTGTTTATATAAATTGAAATAAAATAAGTCGCTGCATGTGTAAAAAATAATGTCTTGTTATTAAATTTATATATATATATATATATATTTCCTTAGCATATATATATTAGGTGAAGAGAATTGCTCGTGACTCGACATCTTTTCCTTTCTATTATATGCATTCAAATTTTTTAAAAATTATACAAATTAACCAGTTGCTTGTAATACTACATAAGCCCCTCAACTACATAATATATACACGTATGTACACATATGTATGTGTACATACATGTAAAAATTAACAACGATTTAAGGCTTCAAAGTTACAATTATATTAAATATTAAGATCACATTTGATTAAGTAAATCCCAATTCGAACTTTAGATGATTATATAAAGGGAGTTGCCAGCAACTAGATATTAACGTCCAAGGACGAGTCGTCTATGAAATTTTTTTAATTGATCAACATTATCCTATCGGATTCAACCTGCGGGGTATACATAACTGATATCCTTCCCCGCGCGAGAAAACAAAATTGAATTAATTAATACGTTAATTCATAATTTATTATATCATTATATTATATTAATTAATTATATGTAAATGCATCAAATTAAATATATTTAATAAATATTAAATTTAACTATTATTGTTGATTAATAGTTCATTAATTGCCGACATTGGTGTGTTGGCAGTTCTTCGCTGGAAACGTATTCTGAAATATTAGGAAATTATTAGGCGAATATAATCAAGTTGGAGGTAGCACAAGTAGCAAACTTAGCTAGCTAAATTATCGACCGTTGAAAATCTACCTTTAGCGGTAGTTTGCTGCGTTATCGACGATCGGTAATTTTCTGTTAGCGATAGCTCCTATTCATTCATATTCGCCTAATACTTTCCTAATATTTCAGCTAATATTTCAGAATATATGTGCAGCTTGAAAATCATCGACGTGAGTTGAATCGCAACAATCCGCGAACTGTAAATATTAAAATTCTGAAATATTAATAAAGTATCCGACGAATATAATTCGATAAGAAGTTGCAATAATTAAAAATCCAAAAATTACAAATATTCTTAAAATTTTTAATCTAAAGCTTTGTTTACCACAAAAATATAAATTCACAAACGTTTTAAACTTTTGAAAGAATTGAAAAACTCTTGAAAAGAATATCTTTATAAAAAATTTGCTATATTTAATATAGAAAAATATAGGAACTGAAATGTCATTAAATGAAGACTGAAAAAATATATTCTATCAGATATATCTAAGAATAACGTAGGACGAGCCGAATGCAATCGTTCGATTAATTGATTAAATATTTACATATATCGTATGAAAAAGCGAGTCGGAATGCAATCGTTCTATTAATTAATTAAATATTTATATATACTGAACGAAAAAGTGAGTCGGAATGCAATCGTTCGATTAATTGATTAAATATTTATATATATCGAATGAAAAAGCGAGCCGGAATGCAATCGTTCGATTAATTGATTAAATATTTATATATATCGAATGAAAAAGCGAGCCGGAATGCAATCGTTCGATGAATGGATTAAATATTTATACAAATATACCGAAATGGTGAACCGGAATGTAATCCTTCGATTAATTGATTAAATATTGATATATACCGAAAAAGCGAGCTGGAATACAATCTTTTGTGTAGTGGATTAAATATTTATATATACCGAATGGAAAATCGAGTCAGAATGCAATCGCTCGATTAATTTATTCGATCAACTGCAATCGACTATCACAGATAGTAGCTGGATTCGGAACTTTGAATATAATCTGGCCGCAGGATTTTAGATTGCTAAGATATAGCGTATCAATATATGTTTGATAAAAAAAGATTCATTGTACGTTATTCTTAGAGATATTTGAAAGAATATATTATTTTTTAAGTCTTTATTTAATGACATTTCAGTTTCTATATTTCTCTATAATAAATAAAGCAAGTTTTTTATAAAGATATTACGAGTTCTATCCAAGATTTGTTCAATTTTTTCAAAAGTTGAATACGTTTGTGAATTTATATTTTTGTAGTACAAAGCGTTAGACTTAAAATTTTTAGAATATTTGTAATTCTTGTATTTTTAATTATTACAACTTCTTATCAAAGTATATTCGTCAGATACTTTGTTAATATTTCAGAATTTCAACATTTATAGTTTACGGATTATCGCAATTCAACTTGCTCGATGTCGATGACTTTCAAAGCTGCACATATATTCTGAAATATTAGCTGAAATATATTAGGAAAGTATTAGGCGAATATGATCGGATAGGAGCTATCACAAAGAGAAAATTACCGATCGTCGATAACGTAGCAAACTACTGCTAAAGGTAGATTTTCAACGGTCGATAATTTAGCTAGCTAAGTTTGCTACTTGTGCTACCTCCAACTTGATTATATTCGCCTAATAATTTCCTAATATTTCAGAATACGTTTCCAGCGAAGAACTTAAAATCAATGTCGACAATTAATGAACTACAACAATGATAGTTTCAACAATGATAATTTCAATTTAATTTATTAAATATATTTGATTTGATACATTTACATATAATTAATTAATATATTATAATAATATAATAAATGGAATAATGTATTAATTAATTCAATTTTGTTTTCTTGTGCGGGGAAGAATATACGTTATGCAAACCCCACAGATCGATTTCGGTAGGGTAATGTTGAGAAAAAAAACTTCTCAGACGACTCATCCTTGAACATTAATATTCGAGGCATTGGAACAGTCATTTATGGGAATTTATTTAATTAAATGTGATCAATATTTATAATTTAAAATTTCAATCTCTTTCAAACGATATCATATTAACATGTGCATTACACTATAACTTTTATTTGAATACTTTATTTCTTATAGTGTACGTTCTACATTAAAAATATAATATCAAACTTTCTCTCTCTCTCTCTCTCTCTCTTTTTAAATGTATAAATTATTTATTAATAGCCTAATAAAAAATATTTTATTTTCAAATGTTATAATCATATCCATATAATGAAGTATTATAAATTATAACACTTGAAAATAAGATATTTTTTATTAGGCTATTTATAATAAATAATTTATATATTTAAAGAGAGAGAGAGAGAGAGACCACAAAACTTATTTATATTAAAGATATATATGTATAACTTTAATTGTCTTGCATTCAAATTTTAGCACTCTTATTACCGGCATTTTGTGCACATAACACGGAAACAGAATCACTAATCGTAAACATGCCATGTTACCCTTTGAAAAGTTTCATGCCTTCGGCTATGTAGTTCAATGCGACACTGCCTGTGCGCCTATTGTAGACGAAGCAACAGTGGCTTAACCTAGCCACCGAAAAACCAAAAACTTGGCGGACAAATAAAAGCGTCCCAGAACGAATTTATTGGTATTAAATTTGAGAATGTTTATCATCTTGCGTGAAATTTTATTATTAATCATCGATATTGGAAATAAATTCTGAAAATGGGACAGTTTTATGATGTGAATTTATATAAAATTGTAAAATGACAAGATATTTGTGACATTACGATAGATTTTGTATGAGATGATGCGAGTGAATTTCAAAACAATTTTGCTTGTATTGGTTGTCGCAACATTAACTTTTTTACTTACATCATGGAATTATTGTGGAAATAGTTTGCTCTTTCATACTGCGGATTGGAAAACAAAATACCAGCATAAGGTAAAATTAATCAAATTATAATATCTCTTTTTAAATCTTTTGCAATTGACATACAGTATAATAATAAAAGCAAATAAATTCTAACATATTATTTTGTATCTGCTCATCTTTTATATTTCATATTGTTGATTATATCATATTTTATTTCATATTGTACATTATTTAATTTGTTTTGTAGGATCGTTTAAGTACAGAATCAGGATATCAAGAAATAGATTGTCATATAAATGGCGATTACTCGATAGGATGTCGTAAAGAAGGCGATGAAGTATACATACCATTTTCGTTTATCCATAAATACTTTGAGGTCAGTTAAATTTATCATATTTTAATTTTTTCCTGTTTTTATATATCAGATAAGTTGCATTAATTTGATATGTAACATTGTAGATTTATGGAAAGTTAGCTACTTATGATGGTTTGGAGAGATTTGAATGGCTGCACAGTTATTCAAAGATTGTGAGTCCCAAGGGAAAATATGATTCTCGAGGTGTATTTATGACATTTGAAAATTACAATGTTGAAGTAAGAGACAGAGTTAAATGTATCAGTGGCATCGACGGTGTACCAATATCGACGCAGTGGGAGAGTCAAGGATACTATTATCCTACACAAATTGCTCAGTTTGGATTATCACATTATAGTAAGAATTTAACCGAACCAGAACCACATAGGAAAATTATTGAGGATTCTGATAAAGTTAAGCAAAATTGGAATGTTCCTCAAGGTTCGATTATGAGCAGAGTGTACGATAAACAAGTTAACAGTTATGTTGTAAAATTTGCGACACCGGAAACTAGCAGTTCTGGAATTTCTTTAACATTAGACCATGTGCTGGATTTCGTTTTAAAATGGGATCTCAATATTAAGGACAATGGAAGTGTTACGGTTGTACTCGAATCGAGAGAGAAAAAAGAAACATATTACCTTCACTATGTTACCAGCAATACAGTATTGTATAGTTCTAATACTCATGTATACTATGGAATTGGACTAGCTAATCATCAATGGAAGCGTTTTACTAGAGACCTTTTAATTGACTTACAGAAAGGTCTTTATTTAAATGATAAAAGTAGGAAGAAATTACCCCGATCCAAGTTAAAAGTAATTGTTGAATTTGGTCATAATTTTACACATATTCATATTCATATATTCTTAAGGAATATTGCATTAATATTATTTGTATATGTGTGTACTTGCATATGACACGTACGTCTTTATTTCAGGTAGTTAAAATTACCTTGTATGGTTCCGGTATGATTGACAATATGACATTATCGACTAGCGAACATATGGAGCAATTTTACGATGCAGCAAGATGGTTCGTCGCTAATCAAAATATCACTTCTGGTGGTTGGCCCAATCCTGTCAAGAGAAAAGTAGCACCTGGAATGGCTATTCTTGAGCCTGGATGGTATTATTACTATTATTAGGCATATTTTTCACATATAATACTGGTGAAACTAGTGCTATGGAAATACGTTATTACAGGTATTCCAGTATGGGTCAGGGTCACGCGATATCAGTGCTGGCGCGCGCATATCATCATTCCGGGGAAGCAAAGTACTTACAAGCCGCTATTAGAGGCTTGCGACCTTTTAGATTATCCTCTGCTAAAGGAGGAGTAGCCGCGCTCTTCTTAGGTAAATACATCTGGTACGAGGAGTATCCTACAATCCCCTCTTCTTTCATTCTTAACGGTTTTATTTATTCACTTATCGGTCTTTACGATCTGAAAATGATAGCGACAGCTAAAGACGCGGAGGAAGCGTCGAAACTCTTCAATCAGGGTATGACATCGTTAAAGAATATGTTAACGTTATACGATACTGGTTCAGGCACGACGTATGATTTACGTCACTTCACTTTGAAGACTGCACCCAATTTGGCTAGATGGGATTATCATTCTACTCATATTAATCAACTCCTTCTCCTCAATTCTATCGACAATGATTCTATTTTTATTACGACCGCGGAAAGATGGATAGGTTACATGAATGGCAAAAGAGCGGCCCACAATTGATTGCATGCATTTCTAAAATATCCCTTTTTTTCTCTTTATTTCAACAATTTAAGTTACCTCTTTTATGTGTATGTATATATATATATATATATACATACACATACACACACACACACGTGTGTGTATATATAAGTTTTTTCAAGAGACTGAGATATTGTTTTTTCATATAATTTTTATAACAATATACTATTTATTACTCGCGTGAATGTAGATGTGAAATAAATGTAAGATTTGACACTACTTGATAAATTAATATCTATTAATATTGTATATATAGATTATATAGAACGCCTGTGAAAAATAATAGGATCAATGTCTATATTTACAAAAGTGAGGACATCTTTGTTTCAAAATTGATAAATTCCGCTAAATTTACATATAGTGCTGCTAATAATTGTAATAATACATATATAGCATGATTCTTTCGACTGATAGTATACATATGATGTATCGTCATACGCGAGATAATTATTAATTTTTGTAATAGTACGATAACAAGCAATTTGTCATAAATTTCTTTGCTAGATTTATAACTATATTGTCTTGTGGATTTCACTTATTAAATGTGCGCATAAAGTTGAATTGCACAATAAAAATTATTATTTAGGGATGTAGTTTGGAGTTAGTTTTTTTTACAAGAATATTACAGCATTGCATAAACTCTGTATTATATAATATATTATACATCTATAGAGATAAAAATACAAAAACAGAAGAATGAAGACAAATGAAGAGAAAATTTATCTTGAAACATTGAGAGTACAACATAAGTCGCGCGCGCGCGTTGCATTTACATTTATATCATTTATTAAAAGTCTAAAAACTGAGTTTGTATGACCAACCGCAGTTGTAGAAAAAACATAAATAGAACACTTTATATGAGAGATCTATAGTGTGAACACAAATAGAAAAAATGGCATATGTTATAAAAATAGACTGCTCTGTTATCACCGTTTACTACAGCTTGCGAATAGACGCGATTAATTTTCTGCACTTTTTGCAAAAAAACATGCGTACAAATATAAATTAAAGTGAATTAAAAGAAAGAGAGAGAGAGAAAGTCGAGTATTTTAAAGGTGAAATCGGTGGTATTGTTTCGTAACTAGTAGTAACGGTAACGATAGGCGCGGCCGTAATTGTACACCGATTTACTCTCGATCGGATTACAAGTGTACAGAGCGTCGCCTCTGGTCCCCTGTGGACACGTGCAGACTGCGATATGATGTCGGGGCGTACACGTGGCGCTCGGACCGCACTCACGGCCAGTACATGGATTGCTACACGTGAAGTCGATACACGCGCGATTGTCGGGGCAGTCGCTGTCAGTGAAACACTCCCCACGCTGACAGCTACTCAGGGCGTTGCCGATGTAGCCGGTAGGACACGTGCACACCGGCCTCTCCCTTCCGGTATTATCATGACCCGGCGTACAAATCGCATTCGTACCGCAGGGATTCGGCTCGCAGAGATCACCTAAAAACATAGAGGCACACATTTTATCAAAGAATAGTTTTTTTCCTTCTTCGCGCGATTTTCTCACAATTAATAATGAAGGCGGGAAACGAGAAAATATGGTATTTGATATCGCATAATCGCTGCATATGGATCGCTTACGCGGTTCGAATAATCTGCAGCTAACGAAAGGATTGCCAGTCATATGCCGCGGGCAGCTACAAACGGGTGTGATATCGCGTAGATTGCAATCGGCGTTCACTCCGCAAACGCCGTCGCACGGATTGATGCATTTTTGATACAGGCAGGCGGATTTGGCTGCCGGGCACTCGGAATGGGTGGTACATTCCGGTCGACATGCGACGTATGCATTTCCCACCCATGTCTGGAACAAAAAATTAGACATTGATCGCACGCAGCATTTTGTTTCATCATCGTATCGTTTAGCCAGCCTTGTAATATCTCTTTTTTCGCCCAAGGATAAAAAGAGAAGAATATGTCTTACTTTTGGGCAAGTACATTTTGCTTGATGGTTTACGACTTGGCATTCCGCGTTCTCTCCGCATTTGCAGGGACTCTCGCATCTGAAGGACGACGAACATGCGAGATGTTGAGGGCATTCGCTGTCGTTTTCACACTCGTGACGACATCCGGCCAAAGGCGAACCCCTATAACCCGGTAGACAAGTGCAGACTGGTACTTGGTTGATCACCTCGCATTGTGTATTCTCTCCGCACGGACTCGGTTTACAAGCGGCTTCTATCGCAAAATAAATATTTCTTTGATGGTAATTTGCAAAATTTTATCAATAATTGAAATGAGAGAAAGAATGTATTTATGTGTGTATTGTACTTTAAATTACAAATTTACATCTATACAGAGAAAAAAAAGAGAGGAGAAAATATTTAAACGATATTGTAGAGAATGTATAAACAATTTCACAACATTATTGTAATCTTTACAATGTTATCTTTTAGACATTTTTATTTTTCTTTAAAATTTACGTACGTGGATCGGCAATTCGACAACCCGAAAACGGGTCACCATCGTGTCCCGGTAGGCATTGGCAGGTACCTATGTGGTTTCTGGTTTCGCAGTTTGCATTTACTCCGCATAGTCCCACGCAGGGATCGACACACCTGTTGTTTGTGCATACTCTATTGTATGGGCAATCGTCGTTGACTGAAACGTGTTGATAAAATGGATGATATGGACATATTAATCAACGCTGATGTAAATTTAGGCTGTCTCAAAAAGTGTAGAGTTAATTGAAACATTGTTCCTTTTTCTTTATTATTAAAACGGTGTATGATTTTAGCAGATTTACTCACTTAGACATTCAACCCGGATGCATCGCGCGAGAGGATCTCCCATATGTAAATTGAAGCACGAACATACTGGCCGTCCTTCGCTCATTGTACATCTCGCATTGGCTCCGCACGTATAGCTGTCGCAACCACCTATAAATGGAATGATTCAGAATTATAATGACCATTAAATGCTTTGCGTAATATAAATGTAACTTACCAGATGCAATTATTCGTGATTGAAGGTACTGACTACCGTTGATCATCACGGCAAATACAAGTAGAAGCGAGACTGCGGCTCGTGAGTGATACATTTTGCCACTATTCTATCTGTATGTATAATCATAATTCGAAGGTAATATACAATAAAAGGGGGAAACAAAATTCATACGACAAATCTTTTCTCTAAATTATATATATAAAATATGCGTACAAGTCATGTTACATGTATTATAATTTCTAAAATTATTTCTTCTCACAAAGTATATCAGTTGAAACAGTTTTACAATTAGCGAAAGAAACATAAAAGAATATTTTAATTATTTAAATAATATGCATGTATTGTATGTGAAAAAATGAGAATCATACTTCTTCTAGTCGTAATTGACAAAACACATTCTTATTCGAACTTTTAAATTTGTTACATACAAATTGTGAACATACGATATCTTTAGCAATATCCGACAATCCCCTTCGAGTTTTAACAATTCTGCGTATTTCAAGATTACTGCCTGTTATGGAAATTGGAATTTTCTCATTGTCGAAGATGTTTCCATGGAAAAAAAATTGATGAAGAAAATGCTATATTTTGGAAACGCAATTCGTATTTTTATATGACAATGAAAATAATGAAAACAGAAAAAGCTTTATCCAAATGACTAGATAAAAATTTATCCGAGTGAAATATGCTCACCTTTACTTGTAACTTTATGCTCGATGGAAACGCGAAGAGAAGACTAACGAATCACCCGCGATCGCAGAAATGATGAAGGCGCGAGGACCCCACCTATCATCTAGGATATGCGTACGACCTTCAGCCCCACTTTAAATTTCGCCCACACACGACCCTGATTGTTTTTTTAAGGTATTCGATAAATTTCGCCCACACGTTTTTTTTTTGTAATGCATTCGATTCTGATTTTTCACTTATTATTATTATCGAATATTACATATATCGAATGTTACATGTGCGGATATATTAAAATCTTTATAAATCTTAAAATTTTCTAAAGATGAATAAAAGGATAGCACTATAATCAAAGATGGGAGATTGCGCGTTATCTTTACAATTTACAATTATTTGGCGAATTAAAATGCTATTCTACGAGTATGTACGCGTGCAATATATGTCATAACAGGTATGACTAATCACGTTGCAGAGTTCCGTGGTGAGAGAACTCCTTCCGCACCAAAAATGGATTTTCGCGGAGATCGTGTATGCTCGCGATCCAATTGCAACGCAATTGAATTAAATCTGATATATGTGGGGATATATTGTCGTTCATTTATAAATTATCAAATTATGTAAATTTTATATTGTGCATATATAGCATTTTTTCTATAAATTTTTTTAGAAAGCTTGCACAATATGCTAATGTATAAAAATCGATAAAATAAAAAGTAGAAATATTTCTTATATATGTCGCGCGAATAAATTATGTTATGATAATAAGAACTATCCGATTATAAATCTTCTGTTTTATTATCGTTTTTTCTAAGATTAAAATGCAAGATACTGCAATTTCAAGAAACACATATTATTCGTACAGTTGCGAATTTTTGTCGAAAATCGTCTATTAATGATGTTTATCAATGTGAAATGTCGATTCAATGAACGCAAATTTATTCGAGAAATCGAGAATAAATTATTTTGCATAGATAAAAAGATACAAATGCTAGTTAATAATGTATTAAAATTAAAGATATATTTTCTACGGTTAAAATTAAAAAGATTGGATCACAACAAATTAGCACTATTCGTTTATGTCATACACACATCCGAAAAATATATGCAATAATAATAATAATAAAAATATATAACACGAGTTATATATATATATATGTATATATAACTCGTGTTGTATATTTTTTTTAGAAGTTTCATACATATAAATACACACACGCGCACATATAATTTTAAATAAATGCGGAAAATACACGTGTTTACTATACAAAACATATATATGGATTAATTCATCAAAAATGGAATACTTGTTTGAATATAACTCGTTTAGATTTGAAGATACCAAAAATGTGTAAACTCTACTTGGATGTTTGGAAACATTTCTGGCATTGTGAATGTAAATTGAATAATTTTATACTTTTTTTAAAATATTAGTCGAGAGGTTAAAATATGTAATTGAAAATAATAATATTGAGAAAAACATAAGATGTCTTTACACGTCATATTTATCTTTTGGTATTATACAAATTATTTATATAGATTGTATAATTACAATTTTTTCGCATCTTCAAATCTATTGGATTTATATTGGTGCTTTTCATTTTATTATACTCTGTATGCTACATATATGCAAATATTACTGTATCATATCTGTACACGTGATGAAACATGTTGAATGAATTGAAAATTATTTCGTGTTTGATGCATTTTTTCGGACCGGAGTTTTGTAGGACCAGTATTTTATAATGTATATGCAATGCTCTGTTCCTACCTTTAAAATGTGTGAATATTTTGCATTCGACTTTTAATGTTCATATGTAATAAAATCCAATTCCTCTCTTTTAATCACAAAATTTTTAAACAAATATTTATGTACGTATAGCGAAATGAGTCATAATATAATTTGATTTATGTTAAATAACATCCATTTTATCTTGCACTTTATTTCGATTTATCTTTCAAAAACTCTTCATAAGCGGACGCAATTTCGTCATCATAGTTATCATCCTCGTATTCGTCTTCGGATATCCTGTACCATTACACAATCATATTAATATATGGCTTTCTAAACAAGTATATCTATATCGAATCACATTACTATTGAATTAAAAGTGTTGCCACATTATATATAGTGGATGTATTATAGGTATAAAGTACAATATACATACCGCTGATTGTCGAAATCTAATTTGATATTGTCTTGGAGAAATTTACTTTCCTCCGCAGATAAAATTTCGCCGTCAGGACCATACATTACCGGTTGATCCAACTGTGCCTCTCTCAATAATGCGGTGTTTTCAGACGAGTTATAATTAGATGCACCTAGTTGATCCGGTTGCTGGTAACCAGCTTTATTTGATAATGCGTTGCTTGTCCCAGACAAATCACAATTTGACATTTTTCTTCCCCAATCCTTTCGTAATTCGTGAACGCTGTTTACCATATTTCCCACATGCGTATCAACTTGCCCGTTATTTACCAGTTCTGTTAGCGCCCGCATCATATTTTCCATATCTTTACTCTTGCTCTTGTCTTTTTCCAGTACATGACCTGCCAGCTACATATATATTATATCAAATATGCTGTCCAAATAGAAAAAAAATTATATAAATAAAGTTATCATTGCTATTGTATTTACTTTGAGCGCTTGGCAAATGTACTTTACAGAATTTGACGCCGGTCTCTGCAGTACCTTGGTAATAAACCATACCAAGACTTCTCCTAAAGTAAAAGCAAAAGATTCGTCCATCTGGGCGACCAATTCTGCCAAAAACAATATCAATCCATTGCACTTTTTTTGATCGCGTTTCTCTTCACTTTGCTTTTGCCACTCGTTTTCTTCGAATCGAGTCTCCAATCTACATCTAACATCCAAAGTATATTATTGATATATGTTGTATGTGCGTGTGTGATATGATTAAAAAAAAAAATTACAAATCCAAACATACATTTCACTGGCGCGCATTTAAACTTACTGGAAATATAATAAATCTCTGAATAGTTCTTTGGAGAACATAAACTGTTCTTTGCAGTCTTCTAAAATATTATCGAAATATTTACAGAATCGGGCTCCATTATATCGAAAATTGCTTTCAGCTATAGACTGAAAATGTCAAATAAATAAGTGATGCGTACAAACGTTGTAGAATAAAATAAATATTGGAAACCACCAAGATGAATCTTGTGCAAAGTTAGTCTACAACTACATATTTATAGACAAAGGAAAAACTCGCGTTACCGATTCGATTATGGTTGTTACAACCACTTGTAGGCAGCGCGTATTTCGGTCCCACCTAAGTTTTTTGACAAACGACGGAATTAAGCTGGTGAATTCTGCAGGATTTACAATTAAAATATTGATAATGTCATTGAGACGTTGACAAGTTTCAAAAGCGTTTTCCTCCTCCTTTTGCTCTTCTTTCTTCTTCTAATCAAAATGTTATCGCTACATGAAAATATTCTAAAGATTTCTGAAAATTATTAGACCAACTTTTTACCTTATTCTTATTCAAATTGCGTCGATCATCCTTATATTTATTATAGCTTTCTATTTCCGAATCTTGTATGTTGCACTGCTGTTGTAAAGCATCTTCGAGGGCTATGTCCTCCTTTACAAGCGAAGGAGGTACGTATACAGTATTCAACGGTGCTTCACGAGCGATTCTGAGTCTATCTTGTATCCTTGAACTCTTTGAATATTGGTGGATAGATTGCTATTGGCAAATTATTAAGAAATATGAGCACAGTTGAATATTAATGTCGTCAGAGTACCTCGAATCACTCACAAGAGGTAAGGTAGTCTGTAACATGGACCTCGGGACAAACTCTGCTGCTTGCGGCGACAAGGACGAGGTGGCTTCTACGAGAACGATTATTTTCAAGTTGATAACATGCCGTAAACATTGATTTCCTATCCTGTCGCAGACACTGACCTGCACCAGGCTGATTGGCACTCGATGCGCAATGTGGTCGCCTGAGCGTCGCGCTATTTTGCGGGAGCCCATCCCAGATACAGACACGCTGTCCGCGTCCGATGCCTTGCCTTCCGTCATCCTGCCTGCCAGTCTCCTTTCTGCTTTCTCTCTCGAAATTGTCCATTCTCGTCGTAAACCTTCGGAAGCTGTCGAACGGGGAAAGATTCAAATTGGCAAGAGTAAACTCAAACGTCGTGTTCAGTTAGACCGACACGCGCAAAGTATTCAAAGTACACGAAAATGTATCAATTAATCCGCCGCTCCGATTAATAATGTCGCGAGCGCTACGATTACCGCTAATCGACGCCGCTAAATAACGAATTTCAATTATACCTTTGGCGATTCCGATTTCACCACTATCGTCTATCACTCACGGGTAGCCTGACGTCTATTTCCGGTATCTTTCGCCAATAAAAATGAGAAAGCTCCAACTCCAATTGAGCTCGTTACATATAGACATCATAAATGTATGTAAGTCCGCTCGAGTATATATCTCCCGTTTATTTTATCAGCGCCCAGCGCCACACACAGCACACGGCGCAAAGCGCAGAGCGCGATATAACGATACGACGTGTACGTGTAACGATTATGCCAAAATGATTGGTGTTAGGAAGGATTCACACTCTGCGTTTTTTTACGTGCGTACCCCGTCCAATAGGAGAGCTTGTTTCTCCGAAAGAGACAGGAATATCATTAGTTGGAATCTACATTTTCATTGGCTGTCGAGGCATTTACGTCGAGTCGTATATAGGGTGAATCTGACATAATGCGTGCGCTTGTCGAGGGAACGGATCTTTTATTTATTTTTTTTCTTTTTCATTACTCCACGATCTTTCCCGTCCGCGAATCTACGTATGTACAACCTGGTACCACATATTTATGTAAATACAAGGCGAATGTATACATGATAAGTGTATGGGTGCGTGACACGAGTTACTCTCTCTCTAACCACTACCGACACAAACGACTTTCTTGTTAAGAGTGTTGTGCACAAGTTTACGGTAAATTGGAAATTGCCCACGTGCTTTCTCGGCATGGATCTAGAGAGCTGTCAAAAAAGTTCCGATAAAAGGTTAGCGAGTTTATACACATATGTTTTCTTTCCTTTCTTTTTTTTCTTTTAAATTTATAACCTAATCTCTAATGTATGTGCATGGTTAAGATTCTCCGATTAAGATATTTATTTCGTTGATTCGATGCTAGCTTTGATACCGATGACGATTCCGATTATGCCATGATAAGACAAATAAAAATGGAACCGGAAACAATCTTCTCGCCTTCCGAGGATGATATCATGGCACAACTGCAGCAAGATAGTTCCGACTTGGAAGTAGAACCCAGTTTTACATTGGAAGGCGCTGTAAATGGCGATTATTGCAACGAGGGAATATTAATGCAGCATATGGATATCAGAGAACCCTTATCTACATTGAGGAGTCTTTTGGAAGAGAGGCTTTCGATAGATTTGAAAAACTATTCATTTTGGTTGCAAAATTCAACAATGGTAAGCGACAAATTGTACACCATATTTTCTTTCCTTTTTTTCTTCCGGTCCCCGTTTTTACTTTACGCATCTGTCGCAATAGCTGGAAAGCCATAAAACCTTGGTCGATCAATGTATCCAAGGAGAGGGACTAGTTCAGATTAATGTACAAATAAAGCCTATGCAGAAACGTATCAATATAGCGGATGTTCTCAAGCCGGCGGAAGATTACATCGAAGTTGTGGAAAATAATTGTGAGTACGAATTCATCCGCAGCTATTTATTTTCAATCAAAAATTTTCATGTCTAGCAATTAATATTTTTATTACAACAGCACCAGTGCCTGTTGCTCAAGAAAAACAAAACGTCATAAAGTGGACGTTGGATGCGCAGTATAAAAAAGAACAGGTAAAATAAAGCGTAAAAATATTGCACATGCATTGTGTAATGTCATTTTGTATAATGAACTTTATAAATTGATTAAGATTATTTGGAAACGGAACTAATCTTTCATATAAATTGTTATTGTCTGATGCAGCAAGTTTTTCGTATAGTGCTTGATTCATTCTTGAATTACATTTACCTAATAAAATAAGCTACATTTTTATATCAAATATATATGTATAAATCTTTGGTATATGTGTATAATATTTCTTAAAAGGAACGCTTAAAAATACCAACTGATCCGAAGGATTGGTCAGAAACACATGTTAAACACTGGCTGCAATGGGCCGTTAGACAATTTAATTTAGTATCGTTACGTTTGGCCGATTGGAATATAACTGGAACGCAGCTGTGCAACCTCAGCATGGAAGAGTTTCATGCAAAAGTGCCTCTTGATCCGGGGGATGTGTTTTGGACACATTTTGAACTTCTTAGGAAATGCAAATTCGTCGGTATGTCTATAAAAAAAGAAATATTCAATATTGACTAAATTGAAACATTGAGAGTTTCTTGATAAAAGATCTAAATCTAGATTGCTCTTTATAATTTTTTATGATTTTGTTGATATTTTGCAGCTGTAGTGCAAAAAGATGCACCAGATTCTTCCACTGAAGGTACTTTGGAAAAATCTATTAAAGCGCGAAATCAAAAAGCAGCAAAACCGAGACCTGCGGTGAACCAACAAGCTCGCGTAATTAACATGCCATCGGAGAGTGTCGATCCAGCTTCGATCACTATTGCTACTTCCAGTCGATCCGTTAACAGTGGCCAAATACAACTGTGGCAATTTTTATTAGAGCTACTAACGGATAAAGAATATAGAGATGCAATTCAGTGGATTGGAACTGAAGGAGAGTTTAAGCTTAATCAACCAGAAGCAGTGGCACAATTATGGGGAGCACGTAAGAATAAGCCATCGATGAATTATGAAAAACTGAGTAGAGCGCTTCGATATTATTACGATGGTGATATGATCTCTAAAGTTCACGGCAAACGATTTGTTTATAAATTTGTTTGTGATTTAAAGCAGTTATTGGGCTATTCAGCCGCAGAATTGAGTAAACTTGTCGATGAAGGAAGAAGGTATTTCTGATGAAGTCATACATTTCTAGTTGCTGTTAATAAAGAAGAGCTTTCATTGGAAACATCTCATGATGTGTCTATTATTTTATTCAATATAATAATTTGTAAAGTATTACGCATGTGCAAAGTATATATGCAAAGTTATTATCGCATCATATTACACTACATTTATCAAGTTTAGTATACAAATGTTTTTTTTCCTCCAAGACATATGTAAATTATTTGTGTGGCAATTTTTTATCAAGTTAATACTGTTGCGTTATTTCTTCACTATTTATGAATTTATCAGTTGCTTTATTCGTTTTATCCAAATAAATTGAAAAATGCTCTCAATGCCATACAGTATTACAAGTAATGTAAATGGCAAAATACAATATTGATTTTTACACAAAAAATAGATTCTTGGCGTGTAAATTAAAAAGCACTTATATTTTTACACTTATATAAACTATAGTACAACAATATTAAAGAATATATGATTATTTATTTGTTTAAACTGCTAATTTTGTACTCTTTATTAAAGATTAATAGTATTTCACATGTAAGCATGTAAATTATAAAGATATTTTGATAATCTCTCATCTTCTTCACTTGTAAGGAAGATTTTTGATATTATTTTTTTATATTATATATATATATATATATGTACAGAATTATGTAAATGTATTTGGTAGATGTGATTTTGGTTATGTATATGTATTCACGAAATCATTGTATAACAACAATCATTTCTTTGGAAATCAATCAGTTTGTAATATTACGATTGATTTAACCATTATTTAAAGAGCTTGCATATAACAGAAATTGTTAAATATATTGTCAAATATATTTTTCATCAGTATATTAGTATATTTTTGAATAAATCTAAATAAATTATATATATATATATATATATATATATATATATATATATATATAGTATGTGTATATAAAATTTGGAATTAATACATGTCAAAATCTAGCTAGCTGAAGAAGGGAATATTTTATAAAATATATCTTGAGACGCGATATTTTAATCTAGTTTTTTCCTTGCAATAAATAACATTGTTGTAGTAGACACGATGTTTTTTACATTTTCATATACAATTGTAAATTGAATATGAAATTTAGCTTCATCTTTTGTTAGCAGCAAAATTTCTTTGACTTCATTGGTAAAAAACAAAAAAAAAATTGTATCATTTGAAAATTGTCACTCAAATTTTTATTTCAAATTTATATAATAAGGATAAATGATATTAAAAAAAGCTGTATTCGATTTAGAGATCGGGATGTGAAAAATAAATTTATTCGCAAGCTGTCATCGATGAAGAATCGAGTAGTAACGCGGGTGTAAGACGAGCAGCCGTTTGTTCCTCTCTCAAAATCGCGCGTATGACACAATATAGAAAAATAAAAAAACACGCAAAAGAATACGCATACGCGGCGTGACAGGCAAGTTGTGACGCGTGGCCGTTTGTATCTCTGTTGTTAGAACTGACTTTTGATCGGCAAAAGGCAGCACTCATCGCCAATACCAGAGAATCTAGCCTGTGAGATATCGGACGCGACGTCACAAGTTAGGGTCTCAGGGAACCGGCGACGCGGCAGGCTTTATAATCAGCCCGCCCGCCATTTTTGCCCTTTTTCTCTTTTTCACGCTCATCACCACTCATTCTCTCCATCTCACCCTCGCGTTCCGCGATCGTTTCGTCTTTTCTCTTTTATGTAAATTTATGTGATTATCTTTCTTGGCTAGTTTGTAAATTATTATCCTGAGAACGACAATATACAAGCTGCAAAACATGTTTCGTCATGTTTCAAAAGCCGATTAATATCTTTATCGAGCGAGCTTTCTTCTTACACGCGAAAGAAACTTGAGTTTTATAAAATTGATCCTTTAATTTGTACGAAATCCAACTGGGCAAAATTCACACTTTGAAGAAACGAAAGAGATAATAAAGAAATAATCTCTCTCTTATGTACATATTCTCGTACATTACATGAATACTCTAGAGAGAAAGAGAAAAGAGAGGGGGAGAGAGAGAGAGATAGAGAGAGAGAGAGAGAGAGAAAGAGCGCACAAGTATTCCGATCAAGGGACTTTTTATACAAATTATATATTGGTTGAAACCCCTTATTCGCAAGAAATTATAGATTGCGTCATATTTTCAGTCCTTCTTTCACATTCATACACGCACGTGTGCACTCGTGTGCAATCGACATGTACTCGCATTTTAACGATGATATAACATATTTTAAATCACGAAAAACTTGCCAGCTTGTACGCATTTGTGTTTTTCGACAAAATAAGATTTCTTTCGAGTTTCTCTTTTCCCGCGATAAGTTTGCGATTCTTCGAGAGACGCGAGCGTCGCAGCGCCGACGACCGGGAAAGTTAGCAAGTTGTACAGTGGACTTCGTATTTCGCGAATTTCCATTCCCTACTATACAACCTACTACCTCACCCAGACATCGTCGCGGGCTTCCTCTTGCTCTCCATCGACGTTTCTTCCTTTTCTTAATTCTCGATGAGTCGCTTGGCTTTATTTTCCTTTGAGTCCATCTCTTTCACTAGAGATTTGTCAATACTATGCTATGCCGTTGAATACACATTAATTATAATTAATAGTGTCTTTCTCACGCATCTCCTAATTTCGGAAAGATACGCATTTCTTACAATAAAGATATTTAGGGATGTATCATATTTTATAACATTATGCACGAGTACATTTACAAACGCCAACGTTTGAATTTTTGATTCAATGCCAATTTTAAATATATTGCGTGTGTGTTTGTATATATACATATATACATGTATAAATTTTCACGACACAATCGTGCTTTAAGAGTCGATAGATGGTGGTGCCCTTCTTCGTCAAAAAAAGGTGCGAGAAAATTACTCGAGTCGAAAAGTCTGTCGCTGACAACCGGAAATGCCGGGAGCATATTCTGGAGAATAAAAGGATGATGATGACGGTGGTAGTGGTGATGGTGATGATGTTGGAGAAGAAGGAAAGAGGAGGATCCGTCGAAAAGTTTTAACGCCGGCCTGACTACATGTACCGGTAGATAGGAGCTTGCGGTATGCATATAAAAAAGCCCACAAGTTCGGATCTACGGGTTAGTGTCATCAAGTATAGTCGATAGTTATCGTCCCTCGGATATATCCGCGTGATCCGGATGATCCAAGAATCCAGAGAGAGGCCGTGCTCCAAGACGGTCGCCCAATGATGATTGGAGCTTGCGGCAAATTGGCGTTACCTGCGAATATGCAAATCGATATTAACAACAGATTCACCTTGTTGGAAAATTATTTTGAAGTATTTTTTTGAAATTGAATTATTAGAAGAGATTTCTCGTTCTAAAAATTATATAATCAACCTCTGCAACTTGGAAAATTATTTCAAGAGATACGAATAATAAATATTGTCAATTTTACTTTTTATTACTCCATATTTATATGTATGACGGATAATCGAAAAAGAATGTGACATGGATTATATATTAATAACAAAAATTTATTATACAACGAGAAATGAGAAGAGTGAAATTTTTGAGTATCCTGAAAGATTATATCAAGATTTTCTTTCTACGGCGCAACTCTTGCGATCCCGGTTCGGCGACGCCGTTGCTGGGCCGTTGCGGAGATCGGAAGGGCGTAGAAGAAAAAGTCTGTGGGTCCTACGAGAAACAAGAAGCGCAACAAGAGAAGGAGGAGGGGGAAGAAGAAGAAGAGCAAGAAGAATATAAGAGCGAAGAGTAGATAGAGGTAGGTAGGCAGGCAGGCAGAGGCAGGCAGAGGCAGGCTCACTCTCGCGCGAATGTTGTAAAAATCCCCTGCATCCTCGTTCGTAGACAGTTTAATGGCCTCTGCTGTTCTCTTCTGCTCCGAGCCTAAGGGATGTAAAGCGTTTCCAAGAGACCGATTGCACGAGACTCGCGCTCGCATTATAAATCTCGCGTATCGGAATTTTATTCATCAAATCATTTGTCATATTTACTTGAAAATAATACATCATCGGTGGATAGATTGCAAAAGACGCGATTTACATTTAGTTGGAGAAAATAATTAAAAATAATTTATACTTTTTAAGCAAAATAAATTATATATATATATATATATATATATATATATATATTTTAAGTAAAATAAATTTATATATATATATATATATATATATATTTCTTTTTATTTAAAAGTTTAAATTATTTTTAATTATTTTTTTCAACTAAATGTAAATTGCGTCCTTTGCAATCTATCCACCGATGATTTCCAAATAAAGAAATGGAAAAATTTCTTTCCCTTTATATAGATATGTAATATAAATGTATTAAATTTTCAAATTTGAAAAAAAAAATAACGTTACGATACACATATTTATCGACGGCGTTGTGGACGAGGCTTAAAATATTTCAGGATACGCGATGTAAAACTAGTCGAACGAGAATGAGAAAAATAAATTATTACTTCTCGTGGCTCTGTTTAGATGGAAAGTGAATTGAATGAATGCTCGCAGGCTATTGTAACGAGGCAGATGCTTGTTTAAACAATCATTATACACTCTTGTTAAGGCGTACAGATGAACTTTCCTGTAACACGGGGTAACAATGACTCGATCGATTTTGCCAACAAGTATCGTTGGACGATGACAATTTCCTCTCGCGAGAAACACAGCTGGTGGGTTTGGTCGGAGCTGTTGGAAAATGTGGGATGAGCGGAGATGCATCTCTCGAGATGCGCGTGTGCGCGCGCGCGCACGCGGCTTTCGAAGGGCGGCAGGGCCGTACGCGCACGATCGGAAAAGAGGGAGGGCGAAAGGGCGACGCGTAATCGCAGGGGCGTTGAATTCAGGGGATATCGAAGAGAAAGAGAGCGAGGAATGGGGAAGAAGGGCGAAGGGAATCGACAATGGGGAACCGGGGTCACCGCCATATTATATTTAGCGAGACGCGACCGTGTGAATGAACTGCGTCTCAGGGGCGGGCCCACCGCGGGAAATTCTTTTCCTTTCCCCACTCCTTCCTTTTTCCTCCATATTACGGTCCGATCGAACAAAATTGTTACCATTTACATCGATGGACGATTGAGTTTTAAATAAAATTTTGTCGTTGTCTCTATTATTTCTAAACGAGTCTGTTAATTTTTATCACATTTATATACGAAAAAAATATTGGCTAAAAGATTTCAATTTAACGTGTTG